ATATGTGTCTGTGTGTGTGCTTCTGGGGTGGTTGGCTAACATGCCCAGCAATTTGTACCACAAATTAGGCAACGGCCTAAAACAGAATTCCACAACAACAGGAAACAAATGAGGAAATCGAGAAACTAAAAATAAAACCTAACCCTTCGCAAATTACAAATATATGGAAAAATAACTTCAAAACAAAATACCCCAAAAAATAAAAACAAACAAAATAAAATTTTGAAAAATTCAATAAAACAAAAGCTGACTTTTGAGGTGAGTGTCAGTTGCAGTTAGTGAAGCTTCTCTTGAATTGCACCCACAACAGCTACAACAACCACAAACAAGAATCAAAAACAACAAACAACAACAACTGCCACACACATTCACATCAACAAACAACATCCAAGCCACAAAAATAAAAATGCTTAGACAGCCAAAAAGTTGAATATTTAAATGCAAAATGCAAATAGATTAGCACTCAGTATACAGAAATGCTTATAGCTTACCAAAAAAAAAGTCTGACAAATGCCAAAAAAAAAATGGAAATCCAGCCAAAAAAACAATCAGTTACAACAGCAACTTAGAACAGCCAAAACAACAACTACAAAGCAGCATAAACTACAACAAATGCAGTTGAATTTATCGAAGAATAATGCAGAATAGTCACTTTTGGTTGCGAGCCAAGAACTTAGTTTCCCTTGGCTAGGTTTTAATCAAAGTAAAGTATGAATTTGTAATTGAAGGCTTAATTTTCCATTCCGTTTATTCAATTGGAATGCAGAAAAGCTTAACTTTTCTTAATAAAAATATTAGAGCTTTAGTTGCATTCGTTTTGGTTGATTCGTTTATGAAAAAAGATTTTATATGCAAGTCCTTTTTACATTTTTAGTGACCAGCAAATATGCCATCTTTTTTGAATAGCTAACTTAACAAAAAATGGGAAATACAAATTGATTTTGACTTTAGAAATGCTCACAATATGTCAAAAGAACTTTAAATTTCAATAATTAAATCATAATTATTTAAACAAATAAAATAGATTTAATTGATTATAGGCAGGTGACTCCAACCACGCACACTCATTGAAATTCCATATCACTAAGCCAAACTAAAATGCGCTTTATATATAGAGAGCTCTCTCGGTGTGTGTTAGTTACACGTTACAGCTTCGGTGTTCGCCGCAAAATGTGAATGTGTGTGCATTGTCAGCCCAATATCCAGCACCTAACCAAAAATCCCGCCCAAAACTATGCAACAAATTTGTGAAATGAATTACATTTTCGATTAAACACACGCATAAAATCAATAGGGCGGTGAAGAAGGGGGAGTTTGAAAACTAAAATGGCAACCGCAACATCAACGCGAAATGTGTCGCATATGGGCGACCAGGCTGTGAATAAGTAAATATAGACCGCACTCCTGCGTGGGTGATGGTATATGTATATACAGTATATGTGTGTGTCTATGTGTGTGTCTGTGTCACAGGATATATGAAACGGGTGTTTGGCTATTTTAAAATGCGACCAACTGAGGATCTTTGGGGAATGGGGACTGAATTTAATTAAATCGTTGACCAACACCAGTTGACGTTGATGTTGCCTTTGTTTGTTGCTTTTTGTTGTTGTTTGTTTGCATGTGCAACTGTGCGTATGAGTGACATTAATGCGAACATTGAGGCTGGCCCACGCAGAAAGTGCGTGCTAGTGTGTGCGAGTGTTTGTTTGTTTGCTGGTTTGTCCTGGTGCGTGTGTTTGTGCCCGTTTGCGGCCATTTGTGTGCTATTTATGCGCCTGCGTGTGTCTGTGTGTGTGTGTGTGTGTGTGTGTGTATGTTTTGGAGCGTTGGTTTAAAAATAGCACAAGCTACGGCTGCTTTCTCCCATTTCTCCCCTCTCCTGCCGCTGATGATGATGATGATGATGATTTTAGTGTCCTTTTGCCAGCCCAACGCCCATTACACCTACTCCTCCGAACCTAACCGAAACCCCCATATCCCCTGGCCCATTTCAACCGCCTGTCAGCCAAACTGGCTTGAATTTATGGCCAAAAATATAAAACAGGAAGCACATACACGCACACACACACACACATACGGACATACACATGAATGTAAAATTTGTTTGATTTTTCGTTTTCTTTGTTTGTTGCACAATGCGATGATTGTGCGCAGCCTTTCCACAACAACAACAACAACAACAACAGCAACACGAACAACAATAAGAAAGGTCGCCAAGGGACAGAAATGACCGTGTTTTTGTGTACATTATTGATTTTTGCTTTCTTTTCTTGGTCTTTTGCGCCTTTCACTTGCCCCCTTTTGTGGGCCCTACCCTTGGACCACCCCCTTAAAGCAGATTGTGCGTGTGGTTTCTCAAATAATTTACTTTACTTTTGCTTTGTTTTACTTTCGTGCCTCTTCTTTTGTTTACATTGTTATCGTTTTGGTCTTGCTGTTTTTATGTAATTTTTTTTTATTCTTTACTTTTTTTATTTTTATTTCACTTGTTTTTGTTTTGTTTGCCGTCGCTAGTTGTTGGCATTGTTGTTGTTGTTGTTGTTGCTGTTGGCCATTATGCGCACAATAAACGTTTTGTATCGTGACCAAAGTCAAATGAAAGTATGCCAGGGGTATGGCCCACAAAAATGCAAAAGTATGGGTGATACTATGCCTATGTGTGTGTGTGTGTGTGTGTGTCGGAAAAACTAGTTCTTTTTCGCACCCAAGGCGATTGTCTGAGTGAGTGTTGGCATGCTGGTGCCTGTGTATGTGAGTGTGCATTTGTTTTAAAGAAAATGGTTGAAAATGCGTTTGCAACAACTTTTATTGCCTACTTTCAAGGGCAGATACTAGGCAGCAATTTTATATCGAGTACAAATGTATCAGTAATGTAAGTTTGAAAGCTTTTAGCTGCTTGTAAGCACTCAAAACCATCAGATCTAAGTAAAATATACATTAGGCTTAGCACAGTAATTAGAAACATAAATATTAATTTAAGTTTATTATATATTAAATGTATATTTGTTGGAATCCCTCAGAGATTGATGATAACCCCTAAGCTAAGGTAGTAAGCTAGTTAAAAGTTAGTCTAACTCACATTTACCACTCGAACTCACCTTTGAAATATTGTTTTCATATATTTTTCTCCACTCTTTCTCTCTCTCTGTGGTCTACCCTGAAAATGAAACTCCAACCAACTTGCCCGCCACAATAAACCATTATGCCAAAAACCTTACCAAAAATATACCCAATGAATAACTTAAATGAAAACCAAAAAAAAAACAAAAATAAACATCGAATAGCAGGTAATTTTGGCGGCGTTCAAGGTGTCCAAACCGTACTCTCGCCCGGCGATCTACAGATTCATGCAAATGTAAGCGAAAAGAATTAAATCAAGGCCCAAAGGCATTTAATGCGAATTAATAATTTGAATGTGTGTGTCTCTTCGATGTTATGTTTTTCCATTATGAGTTTCTACCTACACATGTCACAAGCGAAAGCAAGGAATGTGCGATTTTCTTAGTTGTTAACTTTGTTTCCTTTGTTCCGAGCACTATCGTCCCCTCACACACACACACACACCTTCCCCCAAAAAACACTCTCCTCCACTTTCTAACCAAACCTAGATATTTTTTGGATAATAGCCATTAAGCTGGATCTGGTTCGCATCTCTTTTGCTTCAGATTCTCTGCTCTCGAGATCATCACGTGATTTCCTATACAACCACTCCACCTGAAAAAAACACACAATAATCTCTAATTCTTTCTATTTTTCTGGCTGTGAACACATGTTATCGTTACTTGACGATATTTTTAAGAAAACACTTTGTATCCTTATGTATTTGTTACTTTCTGCCTTTTTTATGTACTTTCTACGTTTATTAACCCTACCTGTAAATGTGAACTAAAACAAAAAGAAATTTTGACAAAACAAGAAATCTTGGTGAATAATTTGCATGGATATCGTAACGCTGTTTCCCGTTTCCTCCTTACTTCAACCAGAATTCACACTGCCTAACACACAGCCCAAAAACAAAAAAAAACATTCAGAACAGTCAACAGTTTACACTGTCCAACCACGGTGGGTCACCCAAGCCCATCGAGTTTCCAATCTTCCCTTCGCAGTCTTAGCTTGTAACTTAATGCTCTTGCAACTTTTAGCCACAACAGATAAGTATCTCAATGCCTTGTATTTCTTCGAATCCCCATGAAAACCAGGCACTTAACCCATGAGTCATAAATACTTTCCCGGTCCTGGCACTTTTAGACCCAGCAGTCGCGGGCACTCGTAGCTCTAGTCGTAGGTCTACTTATGATACTCTACTCGTACTACCCATACTTAGCTTACTCATGCAGTTCTGGTCAAAACTATAGTACTGTCGCGGCATTTTCGAAAATTTTATATAATTTGTTTGAATTCAAATCTTTAGCTCAGGCTCATCCTCATTTAGCTATAAGAATTTGTTGTTCAAAATATCTCGGTGCCATAAAAAATTATTAAAAATATATTTAATATTTATTTTTATTCATCTTCAGAAAAGGCACATTCAAAATTTTTAAAACTAGAAACCTTTAAATCGAAATATAGAATACATATTTAGAATCGTGCACTTTTCTATCTTTTATCTTAAAATTTTATTCGAAACTTTGACTTTATCCTTTATGAAATTTTCGAAAAACCAAGACGGTTACTTCAATTGCCACAAGAACTCAAACTCACAGGGCTGGATCAGATTTGATCCCGAAAAAACTAAGTCTTATATCATACGTATTTATTTGCTTTGAACTTTTGCTTTCTCGACCGATCGATTACCATTATGATTGTGTGCATTTGTTGAAACATCTGAAAAGGACAACAAACTATGGCAGGCAAGCGGCGCAGTCCTCCCAAAAGAATCACCCAAGAAACCCCCCTGAAACCCCTTTGAACCCCCCTGAAACCAACCCCCAATACCCCGCAGAGCAACCCCCGTAGTAGCGTTTATAGCCACACCCAATCAACATCTACCACCCCTACAGGCGGGCGCCTCCAGGTTCGCACCTCTCTGGATCCTTGGCGCCAGCAGCGAAGCCTCAACGAGCGGGACCTGCTCAGCAGCGGCGGCGGTGCCGTCGGTGGTGCTGACTTTCGCCACCTGTCACACGCCACCCAACGGCTGTACGCCTCCGCCGATCAGCGGGATCGCTACGAGCTGCAGCTGCAGCATCGCGAGCGCCTGGAGCAGTATCCGCTGACACGTACCGCTCGTTTGGACGTCCAGCAGCGCAACTCGCTGAACCGCAGCAACCACGAGCGGCAGTTTTCCGGCGGTGGAATTGCCGGGGGATCAGCAGGATTAGGAGCGGGTGGTGGTGGTGCTGCTGGCGCCTACCGACGTGCCCCGCCCTTGGCAGCCGCCGGCGGCGGTGGCAGCAGCAGCAGCAGCACCACTAGCAGCAGCTACTATCCACAGTCGAAGCCGCAGATTGTGATTGGTCCCGGAACGGGTTACGATCGGGGATCGGGGACATTATCCATGGCATCTGCAGCGGCAGCGGAGGCCCAAGGTCAGGCGACGCGCGGTAGTCAGCGCGGTGGTCTGCTGGGTGCCACACGAGGTGGCGGTGGCAGCAGTTCCGTTAGTTCCACGGAGGCAGCCTATTGGGATGAGCCAGCTGGCTCTGGTTCCTCCTCATCGGCGGCCCAAGATTCGAGGCGTTTTACTGAACGCAGAATAAAGAAGACGGTGCGTTTTGATGCCCATGATGAAGAGGCCTCCATATTGGCAGCCAGTTCACTGCCACCGGTCACAGGAATTCTGCCCTCCACGGCTGTGGATGTGGGTGCAGCCACAATACTGAGCAGTGGAAAGAGTCTTGAGGCCGGCGGAGCTGACTGGTCGCGTTGGGAGGCCGAAAGGCAGGGCAGTCAGGACTCGGCCACCAAGGATTCGGGCATCGATACCAGCAGCACGTTCACCAGCAGCGAGGACTCGAATCGAGGAGATGGGCCCAAGGTACACACGCACACACATCGCTGCGAGAAAATGATGAAAGATGAAAAACCAAGATGGGCAAGAATGCATTGTGTCTGTGTAGAGTCCTCTCTCTCTCTCTCTCTTTGTCTCTTTCTAACCCTCTGGACCCCACTATCCGTTTGTCTGTGTGGAGAATAACCCAATGAAAATCCCCTACCAACTTTCTCTGTTTGTTGTTCTTGTCATGTCCAAAAAATCAAACCAACCAACCATAACAACCCAGACCATAATCAAGCAATGATATCGTTTTTGGTTATCACTCCCAGCTCGCAAACTAATCTCCAGCTATTAAGACAAACATCTTGAAAATTTCAGCATACAACCTCACTCCTATATATTATATATATAAAAGGAAACCCTGAGATATTCTAACCCCACAATGAACTAATCTTGCATGTCCAAATTATACGATTTTTCCCAAAAACCTCTAAATGTTGTTCTCGCATGAAGCTCCACCCACTTTCAACCCCCTATTAGCACGCCCTGCATGACCTCTTAATGTCGTTAGTCCTCACTGTTTTTTAGCATTCAAAAAGTTATTCCAATCCCTAACTCAACTTGAGGCAACTCTTGAAACGTGTGTGTTCTCAAAAACAAGTAGGAAAACCAATGAAACAACTATGTATCTATATCTATGCGCTATGCCAACTATCAGTGATTGAGTAGAACATGTTTCTAGCTTGTAAGAACAACAACAAACCAAAACCAAAACATGAATGTGAAAAAGTGTACAAACTGTTACTTTCTATTGTTCATACAAATGTTTTTCGTTCGAAAACTCTAATTGTAAGTTTAACCTACGGTTAAGTTCTATGTCTAAGGCCTGTGAGCGGTGCTAAGAAAAAAGCTAACTAAAAACAATTCTACTTCCCGCATACGATGGCTCCCCACCGACACCACATCCAACAACCAAAAAAATCTATGCACGATCATCCGCAATCCGAACTGTAAACTGTTAACCACCACCAAAATCCCACCAATCACCAAACCAATTACCATCCCACACCCACAATGTTGTGTAAATCGATCGATGCATATATAGAATCCGGTGAATTGGCAAACATCCGCGGACAATACTCGCCTGATCGGGCACATGATATTGCGTAAATACTATGATGGGGAGGATATATTAGGCTTAAAGGTCAACGGTGGTCAGCCCCTTGGAACGGGTGGATCGATAGCGGGAGGAGGTCCATGCGGGGCCATTGTGGAGAAGGTGAAACGCGGATCGGTGGCCGATCTCGAAGGAAGGATTCGACCAGGTAAAGTGCATCCCCATGCATCCATCACTAGCCACCACATCTCACTCTTACTTTTCTCTCTTTCTCTCTTTTTCTATCTGTCTGTGATCAAACATCCAATCAACCAAACTCCATTAATCCACTGATCATCCATCGCTCGACGGAGCAGGCGACGAGATCCTCGAGTGGAATGGCCGCGGGCTGCACAACAAAAGTGCCGACGAGGTGTACGACATCATCGACGAGAGTCGCCTGGACGCCCAGGTGGAACTGATTGTGAGCCGACCGATCGGCAGCGGAGGTGGCAGTGGCGGGAGCAGCAGCAACGTCAGTCCCATCAGCGGTGCCTCCGGCGGATCTGCCAACAGTGCACCCGTTCGCCGCTCTTCGGCCAATTTCCCGCATAGCGGGCTGGCCAGCAGCATGGCTGGCAGTGCGGTGGTCAGCAGCGGTGGACGATATCTGCAACGAAAAGGTACTATATTTAGGTTGTTAGGCTAGAGGTTGTGTCTGTATGTGAAAGAGTATGTCTATGAGTGACTGGTATGAGTGATTTGCACTTTGCAGAAGATTTTTTGGGACTACTAGCATCAAACACAAAGGTCATTCTCAACGAAAAGTTATCATTTTAATTCAAAAACTTCATTTGTTGTACGAATTTGTATAAATATAATAGAAATTTGATCACTTTAGTTGGAAGTCAAAACATATTTTATAGCAAATTCAAATAATAGGAAAAGGGATTCTTTAGGGATTCATGTTTTCCAGCAGATCATAGAGCTTGAAAACTAAAAGAAGTTCAATAAAATTTACGATTTATAAAGATTTCCTTATTATAAAGTAATATTGATCTAAACTTAAATGAAATATTTAAACTATAATAATAAACAGTACTGCGAACACACTTAGGAGAAGAAATTAAAGATCAAAGTCTCATCCATTAAAGCAAAAACACGACCAATCATCTAACGTTAACACAAGCAACACGCTAGCCCAACTTAATCGCAACTCCATTTGAATTGTTAACCAATCTTAATCTTTATCTTAACACCTTCCACAATCCACCCTCAGCTCCTGCTGTTGAGGCTATCGAAATCCATCGGGACAAGCCGAGCGTGCTGATCACCTCGCCCGGTTCACCGGACATCCATACCAGTGTTTCCGGACCGGGATCGGTAACAGGATCAGGACTCCGGCAACGTGGCGGCGTCGGGCAGACGCAGCGCCTGGGACCAAGCCACAGTACCCATAGCCACAGCAGCAGCGGGAGTGGCAGCGGCAGCGGAAGCAGCACCAGCAGCGTCCACGCCCCCGCCTCTGTCCACGGCCCCGCCCACGCGTCAGCGTCCGCTTCCGGTTCCGCCCCTGGCGGCCTGCACGGCACTACGACGGCGGGCCACCATCACCACCCGCACCATTACCACCCGCACCAGCATCCGCATCCACATCAGCACCAGGGTCCGCCCGCCGCCCACCTACAAGGCCACGGGGTGGGCGGTGGCATTGGCATGGGCAGCGGTTCCGGCACCACAACGCAGCACATCCCCATCGAGGGGCGGCTGCAGCTGAAGCTCGGCTACGACCAGAACACGTTGCAGCTGATCGTGACCCTGGTCTGCGCCACCGGACTCTCCCTGCGCCAGAGCGGAGCGGGCCGAAATCCCTATGCTAAAGTAAGTGGATCGGTCGTAAAAGTATTTGAAGATTCTTAAGTTTAACCGATGACAACTTCATTAAAGGTGTTCCTTCTGCCCGATCGAAGCCACAAATCAAAGCGGCGAACGAAGACGGTGGGCACCACCTGCGAACCCCGATGGGGCCAGACCTTTGTCTACTCGGGTCTGAGACGCTGTGACCTTAATGGCCGACTGCTCGAGGTGAGTTCACTCCATTAAAAAAAGTCCATCTGACCATAGCATTAATAAAACTTATCCATAAAGGTAACGCTGTGGGACTATGTACGCTATGGTGCCAACGACTTCATCGGCGAGGTGGTCATCGATCTGGCGCACCACATCCTGGACGACGAGGCCGAGTGGTATCAACTGCAGCCCCACCAGGACACCTCCTATCTCGTATGTGTGAGCCTGCGGCGGCTCTTTAAGTTCGTTCATTTGGTTTCCATTTTGCGTTCGTTCGTTTCCGTTTCCTGGTTGTCATATCGGTGTTGGTAAACACTTGAAAAAAAAAACCGATGATGGAAACACACAGAGTTCAGGTTCAGTTCCACGAACGAAGTTTTGGCGAGTGAAAAACTTAACACAAATCCGGGGCTAAAAGAAAAATGGAAAATGTTTTATGTTTAATTTTATTTTTTTGGTTTTTTGTTCATTGATTTGTTAAGCTCGATGTTAAGGCTGTTCTGGCTTTCACTTTTCTTAACTATATTAATCTAAACTTTAAAAAGAATCATTTTTATTTGAAAAATGAAGGCTTGAACAGACCTGGTAATGTCCCTTACCCACCCTTCACCCCCGCAGCAGCAGCTACCCGGTTTGAACAAAATTATTAACTCAGCATTGTCATATAATCTGTTTATTTTTTCGTTGGTTTTTTGTCGTGCACCCGCCAATACATCACCACCACCCAACAAAAAACCGAAAAAAAACACCATCCACCATTACAAACTACAAAAAACAACAACACGTGCGTTTCGTTCCGTTAACCATACAACATTGCGACGCAAAATTTATGACAACAACAACCATCAACCATATTATACAACAACAATAATAACAACAACAATAAACCAACAACTAAAACAGTTACGTGACGAGGGCAGCGATGTGGACGGCCTGATACTGACACCGACAGATCATTTATCACCGCCGAGCACCATGTCGCGTCTTAGTGATTCGGACACGACGTCCGACTGCGACATCGATGGAATGACTCCGGGGGCCAGCATCTCGTCGATGGGCAGCTCAGCGAGTCCGCCGCCCCTGCTAGAGGTAACAGTAACAGCCATCACCACCACCATCACCAACAACAACAACAACTTGAAAACAACTTTAGCAACAACAAAACAGCCTGAACAATCTAACATTCTAAGCAACATTACACTGAGCGACACAATACAACAACAACACACACACACACAGGAGAAACAGAAATATGTATATAGTACACATGAAGAAATGGGGAGGATTTCATCCAAAAAACAGAACAACTGACAGCAACAAGAGTGAGGACACGAGAGAAACTCACACACGTGCATACATTAGACTTCAATCCCAGCTTGCCACTTCCAGTGGCACTCAGACAAGCACACATGGCTTCAAACATACAATCTAACATTTCCGCCCAATGTGCCACCCACTCTTTCACACATACATATACAGTTGCCCATAAAGCATTTGACGCGAAAGTAAAAAAAATACTTTGCTGTATACTCTTGCTTAGGAAATGGTTCTGGTAATAAGATTGCAAAAATATATGGAAAAAATCAATGAACCTTTCCAATTATTTCGATATTTCGATATCATACATATATGTACTTTAAATTGTTTAATAATCAAGAATCCCATAAATGACTTTAGAGTTTAGCTTAAAAAACATTTATCAGAAAATCACTTAAGCAAAGATAACGTTCTTTAACTTTCTAAATTATTTTAAATCAAACTTCGTAAAAGTAAGAGTATACAGTTATCGGTGCGTCAAAAGTTCTTTTGGTGCTTTGCATAGTGTGCTTACTTGGGTTCCGATAGTTTGTTATCTCTCTCTCTCTCTCTCTATGTGTGTGCTTTTTTCTAACTGTAACTCACATATCACATGCCATGAGCAGCATCAGCATAAGCATCACCATCACCATCAGCATCGGCCAACAGCAACTCGTTGGCCATCATCAGCACAGCAATCGCAAACAAAAAAAAAAAAAATAACTCATACATGGTCATAGTATCTGCTCCATCCGAGGACTCCATTGCGGTTCCAGTTCCTGTTCCTGTCAGTTATCAGTTCTCAGTTCTCAGTTCGCATGCCACAGATACAAATACAAATACAAATTTACAACAACCAATTCTAAATACAGCACACAGATACCAACATAGTCACACAAATATTTCAAACTGGTTCATGGTCAATGGGACAGAATCGGACTGATGCCGACTGTTCATGTTTTTGGCCAAAACAAGACATGACACCTCCCAGCAAATTGTACAAAGTATTTTCGTTATCATGATGTTTTGAGTTCGTTTGAAACTTTTATTCAACTAATTGGTGTCGTTGTTTGGTTGTGCGTGTGTTAAATTTTTCTCTCTCTATCTGTCGATCTACTACCTCTATATCTTCGAAGTCTAAACTGTCGTTTTACTAACTCTCTCTGTACTAAAAATGAAAACCAAGCTTGACTTGGTCGCGTCTTTTCAGCTAATGATAACTATTGCATTTAAGATGGAAGTTAAACTAGTCTAAGTCTTATAAGCCGAATGTTTTAAGTTAAGAACCCGTGTAAACCTAAACTTGAGAACACATACTGCCCAAGGCTATCTCTAAAAACTAAACTATCTCTCTGTCATAAGATCAAAGATCAAATCTGCCATTGATGAGCACTTGAAAACTTGAAAAAACCGCTTTGCATGCCGTTGTAGAGAACCGCTTATGTCCATTTAACCATCACTTAGCACCTGTGATTTGCCCGTCCTGCTTTCCTTGTGGCTTACTCACCTTGTAGCTTTAAGTGTGTAGCATTGCGTATACTTGATGTGAGTTGAGTTAATCGAACACACAGACCACCAACCCGCAGAGTAACACCCCGAAAACCAATAGAACCCCAAAGTAAGACCCAGAGACACTCCCACACAAACACAATGTAAGAGGCCAATATCCAAAACGCAATATTTTTGATATCCCACACACATTTAAACCGCATCACACTGTGCTCCAGACGACTCTCCATTCATTTTGATCATATGTAAATTTCTCTATTGTCTACTCCTTCTTTTTCTCTTAATTCTTAACCCTCACTGAAATCCCCAACCGAAAAAAAAAACGAACCACCCCTTTCGTCCCGATCCAATCCGTCCAAAAAACGATCCAGCTCGATCTAAACGAGCGTCGGTCCCGACGTGACATGTCGCCCCAGGGCCGCAAACGGGTGGCCGGGATGGTGGCCCGAGATTACCGCACTGTATCTGGCATTGGACAAAGTTATCATAATCAGGTTTGCACCCAAGCTAAATTAACGAACCACCCAACAAAATGGCCAAAAAGAAGGCCAAACAAACAGAACAGTACAGACAAAGAAAACACTTCAAGTGGTTAGATCAGATCAGAAACACCTGCGGGGTAGAGTTTTCAATACTCAGGGTCTCAGGGATACCTTTAACTATTACATCACTTTTTTGACTGAATATTCTTTCCATTCTTTTTATCATTCAACGTTAAGATAACCTTCTATAAAGATATATTATATAAACTTATCGATTAGTAATGCAACTTTTTACAAAGATTGCTTAGTTCGAGTTAGGGTTTCGAAGAAAACAATCCATTTAAAACTTCATGAAACCTCAAGGAAAAACCTAGTTCGAAGTCACATCATTGACTCACCAGATTAATCAGTCCAAAAATCATATCTTGACCAATCTAAAACCCACAAGCATAGCTAGTTTAGTTAGACCAAAAACCACTGCCAACTTATTGCACTTTCAATTCAGAGTTTATGCTAATCTTTTACTTAACCTAACTAACCGATTAACCCACTAACTAAAGTTTACAAGTCGCGTGCGGCTCTAAATGTATTTTGATTGATTTCGTTTCGAAAGTGTATTCTTATCAAATTTGTATGGCTCTCTATCTCTTGCTCTCTTAACTCCTAACTCAATACCTACATATAATCAATCAAAATATATATATATTATCTGAACTTACTTGTATTAATGTTCCAGTAGAAGTTGCAGTAACAGTTAACCAAAGTTAAAACAATTCACACCCAGACACTTAAGACCAAAGCACACTGTTAATGCCTGACTCAGAAACCACTTGACCATCCAGAACCACTCACATACCTAGTCAGTAAGCTCTTAATCCGAATGTTTGTCAGAATCCCTGCGGGAATCCCCCACGGCGGGGATCACTGAGTTTCGGTCCAAGGGTGCACCACTAAACCACACTCTACTTTCCATGCCCACCATCACTACTATCTGATGCACCACCTTCAGGCCTCTGCCACCGGCTACTATCGTCGCGGAGGTGGTAATGGTGTCGGCTCGGCCATCGGTCCTGGTGGCATGAGCCTTAGCCAACGAAGCCATTCGGCGGCACCCAGCGACGGTTACCACAGCAGCAGCGGAGGAGTAGGCGGAGTGCCCTCTGGCGGATCCGCCTACGGCTATCGGAGCACCAGTCCCAGGCGGGGCTCCTTGTCGCCACCAGACGACCGTTACATAGACTATCCAGTGCTTCCAGTTCACGGCTCGCCTAACGCCCCGTCGGTCTATCAGGGACCGGGTGGTGCGTCCTCAGCGGCGGCGGCTGCTTCGCAGCAGCAGCGATTCCAGTCGCGATCGGCCACAGCCACGCCCACAGGATCCCCCAAGAAGAGGCAACTACCACAGGTAGCAAATAATGACAAACGTTTAGATTTAATATCTTAAGTGTTTGGAAAATGTTATTGTTAGAGAAATATCAGGAATGCAATTCGGAAACTAACTCAAGCTATATTTTCTCTGACACAGGTGCCGCAAACCTCTCGCAGTGCCATGCTTCGAGATCGACTCGGGCAGGACTTTGACGAGCGGCTAGCATCGGGTGGCCGCTTTGGGCGGCACCGAACACGACAGCCGCACCACCAGGCCACTTACCGTAGTACCGGAATGGGCGGCTGGGAGCGCCATTACACGGGATTGTCGGACAGCGACCTGCATTCGATGGATGCGCGCATGCGTCCAAGACATTCGCTGTCGCCAGATAAGGATTTCATGGGCGAGTTCGGTGACTCGGACATGGAGTCGGTGGTCAGCGTGACCTCCAGCGCCTTCTCTACGCAGTCGGAACGACCGCGAACCTCGCGCGGACTCAGGTAAGTGGCCGGCGGGCTATGGAGATGGATGAAGGAGGAGGAAGGAGTGCCAGTCGAGCCCAAGCCATTAGCCATTAGCCAAATTAGCAAAGCTACGCTGCCAAAATTACGCTGAAATTCCGCTCTAGGCCACACGCCAATTGGTCATCTTCCACATTTACTTTTTGAATAGTAGCTACGAGCAAAATCCAAAATTTCTCTGAATTAGGCTCTAAATTAGAAACGGTATTTGAACATGATTAGAACTAGAATCGGCGCGCTTACCGCCCAACTCTCTTTTTGACTTACACAAACACACAACACACGACACAACAGTATCTCGCTCACATAGATACACGAACACCTTGATACGAACACACTGAAAACCAACGAAAAACGATAGCGAAAACATAAAGTTTCTTTTCTGCATTTACTTTTTGCGTTTGCCAAACCAACCGACAAAACCAAACCGCTCAAAATATAAATCAAATCTCTATGAAAATCTCAACAACAAAATCAACAACGCCGCTATCGCCGCGCGTACTCTCTTTGTGTTTGTGTTTGAATGCTTATCTCGCGTGCTGTGCTCACCACACGCTTACACGCCAACGACCACTCACCACGAAACTCTACAACATTCAACAACACTCAACCACAACTCTCCACAAATATCGAAACCACACATGTCCACTCACCTCGAACCAAACGCTGACCTCGGACGTCGTTCGTTCCTTTCCCCCCTGTCTCAAATGTGCCTTGTTAATTGTGCAACAACAATCGATAAACTCACCACACACTCGAAACTCACCACACGACGAGCGCTGTCTTTTTTAAAATCACGCTCATTTGGGATCATATATCTAATTACAACCACATTTGATCCTTCCAAACACTTTGCATGTCCCAAAACCAAAAATGTTTCCAACACAAAACCACTCACCACCGCTGCCAACCGTTACCACCCGATACCAACCGTTACCGTTGTCCGCAATAACCGTTAGCTTCCCACGCAACTGGCGCAATCTTTTTGGCGTCCGCAACAGTTTCCTCAGCGGAACCGGAGGTGAGCCCATCACCGGACTGCGACTGCACCACCCGGAGCCTGGGAGGGCCAACACCATCGAGGTGGATGATTGTGATTATCTGCCAGTGGGCGGAGCCCAACAGTTAGTGTTGCTGGAGCAGCTGGAGCAACTGCAACAGTTGGCTGCTCTGGCAGCGGCTGATTCCCCGCCCATTTCCGCCGGAATCGGAATGCCGACACCACATCAGGTGCTGGTAACCGATGCCAATAGCGGTCAACTGGTGGAGCAGTTCTTCGTAGAGCCTGGGACAATGGCCGAGGAGATGATGGAGCCACTCGATCCACTCGATCCCCATGCGCATTTGCATCCACATTCCGCCTTCTACTCGCAATCGCCCCATTTGCCACCACCGCCATTCGACATCGACATCTATCCACCACGACGGTCCAACGGACAGAAACCGAACGTACAAGCCACCGCCGCTGCCTATCCGCTGCCGCTGCTGCCGAGCTTTGAGCAATTCAAGCGCATTACCACGCCCATCACGAATCTCTTCCGCAGCTCCTCGCCCTCGGGCGTCCATGCCCATGATCACGCCACTACGGCGCCCAGTTCGCTGGTGGGCTATGTGCGGGATCATCAAGACAAGAGCTGCAGCCACTGCCAGAATGGAAGCCAGCCGGTGGTGCTGTCGACGCACCACACTCTTCATCTGACCACTGCCGGTCTGGCGATTGGTGCCTGCCAGGATCCCTGCTGTCTAGCGGATGCCCATCCTCATCCGCAACACCAGCCCATGGGTTATCCTTACGGGGGAGCCAGCGGTGATCAACCCTCATCGGATCCGGCGATGTGCGGCGAGTGTGTGGATCAACACTTTCTGGGCGGTTGACGGGACCACAGCTGAATCTGGGCGTGGTGCCCACCTACCATGTCCACACGCCTACCCCGAATGCCCATCGGCGGGCCAGGGGTCAAATGGCAACGCCTGCCCCTCCGCCCACACAATCTGTGCTCCGTCTTTCTCGCCAGTTGAGTGAAGACGCCCTGGTGGCTGCCGTTCCCATCTCAGAGGCAAAGGCGCAACCCACATCGATCCTAAAGAAACCAAAGCTCGAGCGCAGACGTCTCTTCCACGAGGGGCAATCCCGATCTCTGGACTACGATGATCTGCACACGAAAAGCTGGGGTCGCCGACGAATTCGCTATGAAGATGAGGTGATGCCCTCTTCGGCGGACTATCCCTATCCGCATCCAAATCCCTATGCCAACCACTCACCCACAGCGGCGATGTCGCGACGCTACGGATCGGAGACCAATATTCGGCAGTCCTATATGGGCGCCAATGTGGATGCCAATCATCCATTAAGTCACTCGCATTTCCTGGTAACCGATGACAAGATAGTTACCATTACCTATGACTCAGATGTGGGCTGGACACGACGGGGCGTGGCTCCTTCTCTCTTTCGTGGTGCACATCGTCAACGTGGATTGGCGGACCCCAGGAACCACATGTCACTGGACTTGCAGCGAACCAGCCAGCAAAAGTTATACGGTCCGGCGGCTCCATATCTAAAACGCCGAAGAAATCTGCCACATCCACCAAGTGCGCAGAATGCCCACAATTTTTCACCAATGGAGCCGGGTTTTGGAATGGACATGCATGCTGCGGCAGCGGGAATGGAACAGGGCAACGGAATGGGTAGCGGTGGTGGTCAACACAACACTACCGGTACCAGTACACACAATAGCAACCACCACACCAACCACCACAATAGCCAAGCGAGTAGTGTTAGTGTTAGCCAAAGTCACAATCAACAACTACAACAACAACAACAACAACAATCAGTTAGGCAAAAAGGGAAAGAAGGCACCGCCGCCAATTGCGGATCGATGATGGCATCGGAGCAGCTGACGAAATCTAGTAGTGGGAGCGGTGGTGCAACATCTGCTGCCGCTGCTGGGCATCTTGTCGTCGGTGGTACTAATGCTAATAATGCTTCTTCTTCCTCTTTTGCAAATCCCCAACCACCACCACAACTACAACAACAACAACAACAACAACTACTTCATGGATCACCCAACAACAACAACAAACGTGCCCCATCATCAACACCACAACAAAACACGAACACTAACAATGACGCCAACAACCTGACGCTTGACGCCACACAACAACAACAACAACAACCACTACTTTCACAACAACAACAACAACCACCAAATACATGCACAAATCTTATCACAAATACAACAACAACATTAACAACAACAACCACAACATCGTCGAATGCAACGAATGCGGCGACAACGACAACCGCAACAACAACAACAACAACAAATGCTACAACAACTGCCACAAATCCAACAACAACAACAACGAATAACACGAACGAACCAAACGCAACAACAACAACCACAACAACAACGAACGCTAATGCTGATGCGGATGCCGACGCTGATGCTCCGCTGGACGCCATCGACTGGGATGCCATCGATGCGATGTTGGACGATGACTTTAGCGAGTACGACAAGGACAAGAACGGAGCCGAAGACGCCGGTGGCTCCAAGACAGCGGAGGGTGGTGGCGCCGAAGATAAAGTCGGTGAGTAGCCGTAGATCTTACGATAATATTATAGTATATCAAGTATACGCCCCATTTTCATAGACGTTGGTAACGATTTTTGTGTTACTCTTCTTAAACTGTAAAAAATGATACTTAAAACTTAGACTTTGATATAAAAACACCCATTCTATACCTAATGACCATCCACAGATGGCAGCCTCTCGGACACCGCCAACGATCGAAAGAAGGGTGGAGGCGTCGATCAGGAACGATCCCCCAAAGGAGGCAGCGGCATGGGCAAGAAGTCCAACTCCACCTCGCAACTCTCGGCCACAGGTAGGGTGATTTTGTTCCGTTCTCTGTTTGCGCTCGTTTACCGTTCTCGTTCCGTTGCCTTGTGTTGCTCAGTCAGCCAGTCAATCAATCGATCAATCAATCAGTTAATCAATCAGTTGATCATATTGCTAAGTTGATCAGTTATTCGTAGCATTGTAGGCTCAGCTTGGATTTTGAAATCCGGCAAGAGCAGCCATCTGTCGTCTTATTTTGATCTCCCATTTATTGCTTTGCCATTCGATTTTTGCGTTGCCCAACTGAAAACTAACCACTAACCTCATAATCATAGCCATAACTATAGCCAAGCTAACCAAACTAATCGATATATATATAGTAAAACTAAGAAAAAACTAAAATTGTGTAAAATGCCATACTCGAAGGTCGTAAAAGACGTATGGGCTTTGGAAAGAAGGGTAAGAACTCGTTCACGGTGCACCGCAGCGAAGAAGTGCTGCCTGGCGATATAACGCGGGAACTGCGAAGCGGTGGCGGATTGGGCGTTAGCCTCGGCGGCGCCGGTGGTGCCAGTGGCGCCGCCGGTAGTTCAGGTGGTGCCGGCGGGGGCGGCCTGTCCCGCGGCTCGTCCTCAGAGGCGGATGCCATCGAGCAGTTCTTCGGCGATGGCACCGGCGGGGAAAGGTGCGCACAAGTCCAACTCTTTCTACTCCAAACTATCTTCTCTCTATCTCTCTTAACTCTACTCTCAACTACTACTACTCTACTCTACTCTCTATGCTATGCTATCAGTTATTTTCGGTTGAATTTTCGTTTTGTGACTTTCTTTTTTGGTTTTAAGTTGCCATTTTTGGAGGAAGAAAAGAAAAGAAAATAAATGAAAAACTTTTAAACGAGTTAAGCGAATGCCAGTTAGGCTGTCGATTGAGATGATAAACATTAGTAGCCGTAACCGTAAAGCAGTAAAAGTAACAGTAACATTAACAGTACAGTATCGGTAACAGAAACCCCTCCCGAAAACAAATCCCCAGTTCAGTTCACACAGGATGTTAGTCCTTCAATCCCTAGATGTAAGAGCTTTTCATTCACTTTGCTCTCAGACTTTACGCGCGCGCTTTTTGCCAAAGCTTCAGCCAAAGCTCTCTCTCTCTCTTTCTTTAAAACTATTTCTTCGCAGGCATGACCAACTGTATAACTTTAAACGTATACGTAACCCGCCTTTCCCCTCCGTTAACTTGATTTATTATTTCCGACCTCCTATAAAACGCAGGTGCAGCAAACCCAAGCAAACAAACCAAAAAAAAACTGAAAAATAAATAAAACCAGAACCAGAACAACCCAACTAAACCAAACCAACAAACAAATCCAAAGTCGATACGTATTTTTAGGCTTACAAGAGGGAATCCCCATGATTATCAAGGGGGTTCCCCCATTAACGAAGCGGGGGCACACCGAAAGCTTTGCCCATTCGCAGTTTTCCACCACGAAAAAATGCGAAAGACTGAGCAAAGCTCTTGGCTGTGCAACATGCGGCGCACACTTTTCGCACCCACTGTGCGTGCGACGGTGTGGGTGCGCACCCATTTGCATTTTACTTTCTCGTAGCAGCATAACTTATGTACTATTACTAACCAAAAACCGTACCGATTGCTAATGCCATTTTTGTATAACCAAAATATTAAAAAAAAACAAAAAAATAACACACAACATTTATTCCTAGCGTTCTGTTCGATTTGCATGCATTGAGTTAAGCCAAAACCTATATACCAACCTACTTATATACTTCGTAACCACTCGTACTACTCGACATACCAAGCTACTACCACTCTATTGCAGCCTATCTATCGATAATTTATCGCCCTAGCTAAAGCTTGTGATATGCGGCTTCAGCTACGGCTTTTTGTTGTTGTTGTAAGCGGTAAGACAACCATTCAGCCAACCAGTCTACCATTAAGATCCCCACCAAGGAGTTTATTTTAAATTAAAAACAAGAAACCACAAAAACTAGATCCGTGGAATCCGTTTTAAGATCTTCGATTCTCCCATCAGCGAACTAATGTTTATCATCTGCCTCCCGCAAGATTCTCCTTCAGTTCGATTATGTTTTACGCAATTCGGATAACTAAGTATATATATACAGGGAGCTCTGTCACAGAAAGTCAGCAGACATCCAACAACAACAACTACAACAATCAACAATCAACACACAACAAAAACAACAACAAGTAGCAACAATAACAGCTGCATTAACAACAAACCAGACTCCTCCATCTGAAAATTGGCCAAACAAAAGACAGCAAACAAAATTCGCATTGCACACGATGTAGTGGAAAAAACCAAACGAAACAAACAAAAAGTGCATAGTATTATATAATATATATCACAACAAAAGCTTCAAAAGTAACACTCTATAAATACTAGAAATATATAATACACAACCAGACGGGTTGAGTTTCTAGTGATATATAAACGCAATAGTTGTTTTCATTTACGCCACTAGTTTTGATGATTTCTCGCTGATATATAAATATATATATACATATAATGTGTTTCTCTATGATCTATGTTCTTATGGTTATTCAGTTGACGTTCTCGCTTGATTTCATTTTTACCCTTAAGTTTTGTATTCCGATTTCCGTTTACGACTCTACTCTGTCTTGTTCTCCTTTTTGGGGGCTCCCAAAAAACAAAAAAAAAAAAAAACTCGGGTTTCGCTTTTTTGATATTTGTGGTTTCCCAGAGGCCAACGTCGGGAATCCAATATTCAGAGTCCAAAAGCCAGCGTCGCTATGTCACATAACATCATGCATTGTTGCTTTTTAGTTTTATATATTTTTGAGATCAACATAACAGACTTTTTAGTTTGGAAATTTACAAAAAAATATTCAGAAATATCTAGATATTTCAGATAGAATTGTTTGCCAGAAAAATGAAATATTTTTGAGATCAAAAACCAGATTCTGTACATAGAGGGCATCAACACTTTTTAAATATCTAGATATTTCCTTATCATATCATCAGATTGTATTATAGGATCATCATTTTGATCATCTCTGTTAAGGTTCATACACTAAACCCCCAACCTCTGTATATACGCGCACACACACACATCTGTATAAATATGTATTGTTGTCTCCGGCAGAACAAGAGCAATACCAGGCACAGTTCGCAATACCAGGCTGCTCGACCAGTTCCGCTGGTCACCACCATATCACACTACCACCACCACATCCATACCACCAGCGGCAGTCGCGCGGCTCGGCGGGCAGCATCCAGCGGTCGGTGGAGGTGCCGCCGGTGCCTCCGGTTACCCGTTACAGTGCCGGCAGCATTCACTCGATCACTAGCTCCGAGGGCTCATCGTAAGTCTCGCTTGGATATAACCAAGCCAACTTCCTTTCCGGCTGAAGGACAACTCTATCTTGCCTGCCTCTGTCTCTGTATCTCTGAATCTCTATTCTCTCACTCTCCAAACTGTCCAACTCAATCTTAAACTCTATCTCCATTGGCTTTTGTATATGGTAATCTGTGTGGCGATCCCATCTCCAACTTTTCCCTTTTAAAAAACAAAACTCTTTCATCCTGCAACTTTCTCAATTTAATCGATGTCTGTGTGCGTGCGCCTTACTAAAAAAAAAAAAAAAATTAAAACCGCTAGAAGCGAGTCTGCATTTGCGTACATTTTTTCTCTAAGTGTATTCCACTATTTCTACCTTGAGTTCCGTTTGTTTCTTCGACTTGTTTGTGTATTTTTCTGTCATGTAATGTGTATAAATTGTGATTTTAACTTATTTGACTTGATTTCATCTATGATTTTCAGCAATACCTATAGTATATATATATATATGTATATAAAAAGATAACCTCACCTATTGATGTGTGTGTAAATGAAGGGATTAGATTAAGACGATCACTAAACAGTGCTTAGTATTTAAAAAAAAAGTAAAATTTGTAAAAACAACCATCTAGAGAACCTGCTGTCTCTTTATTTAGATGACTTAGGATTCGGCTAGATTACTCCTTGTCCAAGCCACTCCGATCGTATATACATTTTAGTCTTACCTTCTCTGCACTTTTGCTCCGCGGAACGAAAGACACTTGCATGCCACCATCGAACTGTGACTTGTCCACTTGTCTCTCTCTCCACCGCACCACCACCAGTACCACCTTCAGCATTCACTACCACCCACCCACCCACACTTATCCATTTCAGACCACAAAACAGTTGCAATCGCAACCACCAACTAAAAACTACAACATTTACTGTCTTTCTACAACTCCCTGTGTATAAAGAGTTCTTTCTTTTTCTCAAAAAAAAAACAAAATCCTTTCTTTGTGTAAATTACGTTACCTAATTTTACAACAAAAGATCTTTAGATGAGAGATGATATGAGATATATCACCAACGATGCTGTACTAAAGTGCTTTCTTTCATGTACCCCCTGCCCCAACTACCCCCAAAACACCCCCAATACCCACATATAGATTCTCCCCTTCGTTGCGCAACGATGGAGCCCTTAATGAGTTCGTGGATGGCTTGGGACCAGGTCAACTGGTGGGTCGCCAGGTGCTGGGAGCTCCCTCACTGGGCGACATCCAGCTATCGCTGTGCCACCAAAAGGGTTGTCTGGAGGTGGAGGTCATACGAGCAAGAGGATTACAGGTAAGTTAAGATCAACTTCTGGATTAACTTTTTTAACATTATAACATTTATAAATTCCAGCAAAAAGCCCAGTCAAAGATGCTACCTGCTCCTTATGTAAAGGTTTACCTAGTGTCTGGAAAGCGCTGTGTGGACAAGATGAAGACCTCTTCGGCTCGTCGAACCCTGGATCCACTGTACCAACAGCAGTTGGTGTTCAAGCAGTCCTACACTGGTTGCATACTACAGGTTGGTCTCTATTAGTGCCACATAAAATGCATAAATGAATTATTTAAATCATCCACTAGATAACCGTGTGGGGCGATTATGGACGGATCGAGAAGAAGGTGTTTATGGGCGTGGCACAGATAATGCTCGACGATCTGAATCTGTCGAATATCGTGATCGGCTGGTACAAGCTCTTTGGCACCACCTCACTGGTCAGTTGTCCCACTAATATAGGCTTAGGCTCTAGGCGCTCATCCATAGCCTCACTCGACTCACTCAAACTCTAGTTCTTAACTAAACTGAAACTAAAACCAGATTTTTTCAAACTCAAATCGTACAAGAAACAAAAAAGAAAAAAAACTCTAAACTCTAAAATAGAAAATAAAAAGAAACACTTGCATATATTTATATAAACCTACACACACACACACACAGAACATATATTTATAAAGTATTTAGCTCAACGTTTTGTTCATAGCAAGTTACCAAGAACAAACCAAAAAACGTTAAACATACAACTTTGTAGCGTAATCAGTCGCAAAAACAAAAAAAGACACCTGTAAAAAGTAATCCCAAGCTCAAAAGATCAGCTCAAAGATCCAGCAAATTGAATTTGAAATTAAACCGATAATATAGTAAACATCAAAGCATTTGTTTTTAGTTAGCAATATATATATATATACATACGCACTCCTGTAAATGAAAAGCTTATTAAAACAAATCACGGAAAATCACACACCAACAACACTACACCCAAATGAGGCAAAGTAGAATGAAAATTCGCATTGTGTACTGAAAAACGTTGAATGGAAAGTTGATCGCAAAAAGCAAACCAATCAAAATAAAATCAAACCAAAATACTGCAAAAATACCAAATTAATACGAAAAATAACCTTTCGCAAGTCACCATAAATCACCGTTACCGTTCAAGTTACCGTTACTTCAACGTAGTTTTCACATAGACTCGTAAAATACTCATATAGGTATGTTTCTCTATCCCCAAACTACCCCAATCAAAATCAATTTAATAGATCCGAAAAACACACACACACAAAATCTTTTGCTTAGCATTTTCCTAGTGCATGCGTAGTTAACTATGAAGTTTATCCATTTTGAAACATTTTAATTTTCAAACCAGACTGACATTGCATTTGATTGCTATTTTCTCATTTCTAAAACTTAGTTTTTATATAAAAAACACACAAACTACATTCTTAAACATAAAATGGCAAATCCTGGCTAGCTAACAAACATTTATATACCGAATAGACATTTCCTAGGCCTAGCTCTTTTGTTAAATTAAATAACAATCTAAAAATAAAAACAAAAAAAAAAAAAAACCAATCAAACTTTAAAACCACACCAGGGTCGTCCGATTGTTTGGGCCGGTGAATCAGTCATAATGGAGGAGCCGGGCGAATAACAGTTTCCAACACTATCGACACCCAAACCAACAACCACAACAACGAAAACACTTTAAAGCACCCAAGCACAATTCAATTCAAGCGAACTCTATTAACTGAACTGAATTCAGTAAGTGCACTTATACAATTTAAATAAATTCAAGCTTTAAACTCTCTAGTGCGCTCGCTAATCAACAATAAAACATTTCGCCACTTTGCCATTTTACACAATCGAAGAAAAAAAGGATTTAATGTATAAACTAAATCGAAAATAAAAATCAAAAAACCGCTACTAACCCACTTTGCCCGTTTTCAAAGACAATTAACAAAACACCCACAGAATATATATGCCAAAGATTAGCCCTAATTGATCCTTTTATCCTTGCAGTAACCATTCGCCAGTGCTGTCAGCCCGGCAGCCAAATAGCAAAGGACCAAAGGTTAGCCTGCAGCGGCGGATCCCAAAGATAGAACGCCCGCCCGATCCTCATTCGGCAGGTTGCTGGCCTAAGCTAAGTCCACATCTGTTTTTTTTTTTCTATTCTACGGCGGAGGAAGACTTTGAAAAAAATACCAGAAAAACAAAATAAAAACCAAAAATAAGAAGAGAAAATATCTAATTTTTATAAGTCATGAAAACAAATGCATTTAAATGAACCGAGAACAGAGAACACAAGCAGAGCAGTAAAATGTTTAAAACGTAACTACGGAATACAGATAAAAGATAAAATGTAAAGGCAGTCTATATATATACATATATACACATTATATAATGGATAACATTTGACAAAAAAAAGGATACTTGTAAATTATGCATATTTAAAATAATTTTTATTACACACCTAAGATCACTATTATTTTCGTAATACGATTACTACGATTATTATTACTTAAAACTATTATTGATAAAAGAATAACAAACAAACCAAAAAAATACCAAAAAAAAATGGAAGAGAAGGTGGATAAAGTTCAAGTGCTAGTGTCAGTCATGCCTAAGCCTTAGCCTGAGCAGCGACGCAGAAGGATATAAATTGTTTATTGAATAAATAGCTAAATCTAAATCTAAATCAGTAAAAATGGGAGTTATAGATTTTCAGTGAAGGGAGTTATTTAAGTATATATATATATATATACATACATATATAAATCGATATATATATACATAAATATATTTACTGTTTAAGCAAGCAAAGAACCACTAACACTTAAATAAGCCTAACTTACGATTAAAACGGATAAAGTTAAAGCTTAAGATTAGGTAACTACAAAGAAAATGGGATATGAGATATGTAATAATCGAAGAAACAAAAATATTTACCAAAGCGAGAGAGAGATGAGCAAGTTTAACTTAATAATGCAAAATCTGAACCTAAGCTGTACATAGGATCCACACACGTTACATATACACACAGACACACACACACACACACACACCGCATCCGGTTACTAACCAATATTACCAACTACCGCTTCCCCCGACTTTTAGGCTTTATAGCTATTGGTTAACTCTGCGCCACCTCAAAAACTCCGCAGTAACCCCAAAATGTATGAGTTTTTGATGTCGGCGATGAGGACACACATACATACAAACATACTATATATATATTTGAGGCAGACAAGTATCGTATATAATTTAACTTAGAGCAAAGAAAAAACTATATCTCTCTCTATATGAATAAACTATATATCGCGAGTTTTCCGTTGTAGCTACCCTCGCTTCATTTCGTCGCGCTTTTAGAGTCGCTTTGAGAATCTTTTTTGTCATTTTCATTTTTTTTAATTTTCAAATCAAAACTTGCCTCGAGAAAACGCATCAAGTACCTTCAAGTTAATAGTGTGAGCTGTAAAAATCGTTACCTGCTTGCCAAAGATACACGTACACGTACATTAGCATATATGGAAAATGGAAAAGTGTAACGGAAAAACAAAAACAGAAAAACAAAAGGACAACAAATAGTTTGCATAGTTAGTTTACTGCATTGTTAATTTGATATATTTTTGGCATTCTTTTGGGCAACATTTTGGAATGCATTCCCCGGGGAAGAAGCAAACATATCACTGAGAATGATGATGATAACATGATAATGATGGATGGGAGCAGTTAACTTTTATATATACATTAGGACATAGGGCAGAGGGCAGAGGGATATAACTATGTATGATTATTATGAGACACAACCTAGCTATTGTTCCTATCCAGTTGTTTAGTGCTCGTTCCTTTCGTTCCCTTCACTCATGGCTACGCATATTGAGTTGAACCTTTCCGTCCATTCATTCAGATACACACATAGACACAGTTGCAGTTACAGATACAGATGCAGATACAGATACAGATTGAGGTAAAGTTAAATAATATATATATGGACATGTGCATATCCATCCAAGCAGCAGCTTCCTATATCAAAACTAAAACAACTAAGAGATACGTAAAATGAAATGCCGAAACACAGGGAAAATGCATTCAAAATGTTGCTGCAAAAAAATCACAAAAAAAAGAAAAAAAACAAATCACCGCGCATCACAAGAAGAATTTTTGAGCAAAAGATGAGAAGGATAACGCGCTTCAGATATTTGAGAAAAAGTTATAAAAAGAAAAACTACCAGCGAGGTTTCCAGCAACTAATTATACGATATATAAGTCAGAGGAACAGTCATTCACAGACATACATTATAGATAATCAGATTTGTAAACTCCGCTCTTCACGAACTTCATACGAACTTTTCTATGATAAAACTCTCTCTCTCTATCTCTACCTTTATATTGTTTCCACTGCTCTCCTTCAGCAAGACATTCAAAGATGCTTTGATTAATCAGAAAAACCAGAAAAAAAAGGACGATTAGAAACTTCGGCCAGGTCGAACGTTAAATGCTCTTTTCGAATGGTAATTGGCATGATAATATATTTCAGAAAAAAAACGTTTAAAAGCATTCCTTAAAGGGCATTTCCACCGTACAGTCATACCAGAAATTCTTATTAGGATTCCTATAGAACTCGTTACATTTAAGTCACACCAAAGACGAAAAAAGCATATAGAAAATGTTAATGAAGCAAATGATATATTATGGCAAGTTATTTCAAAGGCAACCAAATACAAGAAACAAAATGCTATTTACTAAGTTCAATTTGAATGACAGGCGACGTTAAGACACGATACACACAAATTGATCAACAAAAACACGAGAATATATCATTTATTGCAAATGTTGAACAAAATTGATTAACAAGGCGAAGGTCTGCGCTCTCGCTGGGCGCCCTTGAACACCTTATATTGTATTTTAATATCTCGACAACAATCGAAGGTCGAGAAACGACAATAAACTGTGAAATGAATATGTAAAAACAAAAACAAAAAAAAACCAAAAATAAAAAACAAAACAAAAAACTAAAATTATACTAAAAATTGCGGAGAAGAGCATTATTAATATTGATGAACACACAGAAACTTGAATTGTGTAAAACTAAAAACTAAAGAGAAAATTTAATGAAAAGCAAACATTTAAAGAACAAAAAAACAAAAGAAAAATTCATTAAAAATTGTTTTCTAATAAAGCAAAAAATATGAGTTTTATTTCGGATTTTCAAGTTGGGATATTTAATGATTTCAAATTAGGAAAGATTGCCCACCAATAAAAATGCTTTGTTTTTTGGGGTTTTACATAAAGCGGTGGTATTTCTTTATTTACCATTGATAAACCATTTAATCCGTATATTGTATATATAAATAATTTAAACATTTATCGATTTATATTATTAAATATAAATGTTCTTGGATTCATGCGCCATATATCGGATACTGGGTTTAACCTTATACTCATTTACAGGTTTTTGCTCGATGACGCAAAAAAAAAGTGTTTACCCAGGTTAATAAATTAAGTAATTTTCTTTTTATGGGCATACTTAGTATTTCGTTTGGATATATTTCGGTTGAATAATTAATTAATTAATTTGAAATTATCTTACAAAAGTTGTATTTCTCTTAACTGCTGATATCTCGTATAGTTTAGTGCGTTTCACAAAGGAACCAAGTTAATGACGACATACTAAACTATATTTATGGCCTATCCACTATCGTATCAATGCTATGAATTTCTCAAGCTGACTTCGGCTATCAAGTTTTGTGATGGATGTGCATTTCAAAATGTATTATATTACTAATCAGTCTTTATAACGAAACTAAACACGACCGATCAATCGAATGCTCTATAAAGAGAGAGCCCCCGTAACTCTGATTTTTCAGTTAATTACCAGTTACGAATCTACGATTTACGATCCGAAATAATAGTACATTTATCTACTTACGCGGAGCACAAAAATCAAAACTTAATAAGCTGGGGTGTAGGTTTAGGTCGAAAGTCTTGTGCGTGTGAGATATGTATTGGGGATGTGGATAGTATTCATTCGTATCATACATTAGATAATATATATTCATATTGTCGCTTTGTTACATCATTACATTTTACATTCATCTTAAACGATAAGCGTTGAGAGACCATAGAAAATACATATGCCAAAGCCATGCTGGGTGTCCATCCATCTATCATCTATCATCATCTATGCCGACTAGCTGAAGCATAACGTTTTGGCTAATAGTTTTAGTGCCATAAAAATTACGATTTACCACTTTACAGTTTATCCTTACAATAAAAACCATACAATTGCAGCTTAAATTCGTATGCCTTTTGTTCATTTTTATATCCGTTTTTTTTTCCATTTTTATTTTCATTTCAATTAGAGAAATTGCTTAGGGGAAAATACTTTGAGTGCTTGCACATGATCGAGCTATGATATTTTATTCCTTTCCGATTAATATTTATTTAGGGCCTTACACTTAGCTATCCGATATTCATTCATATATGATATGATAAACTTTAGTTTACATTGATTACTTAAACACGATTAGCTTATTATCTTACACATTGTATACGAGCATAGCATGTATAAATATAAATATAAATATATATATATTTAGATTTAGATTTAGATTTAGTTTTAGTTTTAGTTTTAGCCGTAGATGTAGTTTTAGTTTAGATGTAGATAAGTTAAGGGGTTTAATTTTTGTTTCTTATGTATCTTTCGTGGGTCATCATGAGTGGCAGTTAGCGCTACGTACTTGAGTGGATCATCGTCAAGGCAAAGCAAAAGAAGTTTAAGTTAATTCATTTAGGATTCGGTAACCAGCTGATCCTTTGGAAGATTAGTGGATTTGCTATGACTTCTCTTGGGGCCCGGAGCTGTACAAAAACCGAGAGGCTAACTTAGAGCGATATGGGTAGGTGTCTATGATCCGATTTCACTACGATATAGGTCTTAGTTAGATATTCTTCTTCTATCTATGTCATAGTGCAATCAGACTTTAACTTAAACTAAAAACAGTTAAGGGTTTTGCCATGCTTCTTGCAGCAAGTCTAAGTTCATAGTATGGTAGATAAGCCGGAAGTTGAATTTGCCATCCTAGTGCAGCTGGGCCGTCACATACAAGCCGCAATCCTGGTCGGAGGCCATTGAATAGTTGGCCGAGTCGCGATCCTCTGGTATGGTAGGATGCGTCTCATGCGGCAGTTTGGCGAAGGCATGATGTCCTGCTCCATAGCCCAGGTGTCCGTAGGGTGACTCCGCTGCCTTGGTCACATGCGGCAGGCGTCGAAGGAAGTGCGGATTAGAGTAGCGTACGCCGTTTGGCAGAGTGGTGTGCGGCTGTTGCTGACCATTGCTATTTCCCAGGGCCACCGAGGCATTGGCATAGTGCATGCTGTTGGGCGACATGAAGCTCGACACCTGTGACGGAGGCAGTGGTGGCATTCCACCGCCACCCATCGAACTGGTCATCGCCGAGGTTGAGGCATAACCATTGCCACTCCCGGCAAGCTGCTGGCTGTGGCAGCCCACCGGCAGTGGCATCGTGCTGCAGTGAGCCGTATAGTCGAACTTTTGCTCCGGCACCGAACGCTGCATCGGCAACGTGGCACTATTGATGACCGACGACGAGATGGCAGAGGGATCCGCATTGAAGCTGGACATACGCATGTTGGTACAACGGCCGTAGGGCTCCTCCTGGATGGGCGGCTGTGGAGGTCGTGGCGGTGGCTTACTGTTAGCCCGCGGTCGTATTATGACCTCCAGTTCACGCTCTTCGCCAGAGTGGACGCCACTAGAGGACTCGGATGGGGCGCGCTCCGGTGGTGAGGTGGTGTTGGTGCTTTCGGTGGTGGAGGTTGTGTCACTGCGGGGCGTCAACGCCTCGTTGGGAACGCCCGAATCGGCGCGACGCAGGCAACGGGGTGTGGAACTGGAGGAGATCTGGGAATGGGGCACAAACAGAAAAAGAGAAAGAGAGAGATAGAGAGAGAAAGACAGAGACGGTGGGGAGTCAGTAAAAGTGGTCAAGGAGCAGTTGGAATAATGAGAGATTCTAGGAGGTGACTGTAGGGGCTCTGCTTCAGTGTGGCCCCGTCTGCAAGTGAAAACGAAATCAAATCAAATTGGGGAGACAGACTCCGAACCCTTCGCTACCACCAGGCTATCCATCAACTGGAGCACTAATTCGGACAGTGTCGCCTGGCTCTGCCCCAGGCCAATCCCCAATCCATGTCACCCTGTCTGTGGCCCTGGCACTGATTTATGCTGTCTCATAACAGCAAACATAAATCTCATGCTGCTGCTGCTGCTGCTCCAGGGGCGTGACATGCTACACGCCCCTACATGACGACGCATCGCCTCACCCCTCCCTCCCCTCTTCCCACACAGCAATCCCACATGCAAATCACAAACAAGAACACAAAATTATTCACTATGCACTATGCTGAAGGCGATATACCCTACCCTGCTGTGGGTGCACCTAAAAGTCTGGGAATTTGTTTTATTGTGACTGGGAATTTGGAAGCAACATCTAGGAGGCCGAACTAGAATAAACATTGTTCTTTGTTATTTTCACTTATTGTTGTTCATGAAACTAAAAGTTTGCCACAAAATTCTAACCACCTACTTTTAAGTTTTCTCCTTCAATAAGTTTGGGAGTATATATTTTTAAACCTATTAGAAATTTTAGGTTTTTTTGTTTGAAGTTCTATCCGAAAAAAAGACAAAAATGTATCTTAAACTTTTAAATTTATAATTTTTTAGTATCTCTCCTAGAAGCCACCCCAAGTAAGAGAATCCACCTCCTTACAAAAACCCACTTCCTATACTTACATGCGCTTCGTTGGTGTGAACTGCGACCGTGACCGGAGCCAAGGGACTTACTAGATGCTGGTGCGGATTGCCCTGTTGCTGGAGTGGATGCTGTGGTGGCTGCTGCTGCTGCTTTTGCTGGAGAGGATGCTGCAGAGAATGCTGAAGTGGATTGTGGTGATGCTCGGGCGACAATTGCATCATCTCGGGCATTGCTTGAGGAGCCCGTCCGTAGATGCCGGCATTGTGTGGCAGTACCGCTGGTGGCTGAGGTACTGGGGCTCCCTTCATGGGCAACGGTGGAGGTGGTGGTGGTTGTGCCTGAGCGTGTGCCGACGATGGCTGTGGTGGCTCCAGATCCCTAGTGGAGGCGTATGTGATGCTGTCGTCGCGCACACAGGCCAACAGTTTACCCTCCTCGGAGATGTTGTCGTCGCTGATGCCACCCAATCCGCTTAGATACGCATAGTCGTGGGGATGTCCATGGGCAAATGAATGGGCCTGCCGTTGCTGCTGTTGCTGATGCAGTTGCTGTTGCAGCTGCTGCTGATGATGATGGTTGGCCGGCGGCGGCGGTGGAAGTTCATCATACTCCGAGAGATGGAGCAGACTGACCCCCACCGAAGTGTTGCTAACGCCCCTCTTCATGCTGCCCATGGTGATGCCCACGACGGCTCCAACGGTTGCTGATCTTAGTGTCGCGTACTCGCCGTCGTCAACTTCCCCCGTAGCACTGGCAAAACATATCGAGGCTCCACGGCTCGTATGGCTAAAGTGAGGACAAGGTTATGGTCAGAGGGAGTTGTATTAGCAAACTAACTTTGTCGCCTTGTGTTGGTTGTTTTTTAGGTTGAGGAATAGAAGAAAACCAAAGGTGGATCTAATTTAAGTTCAAAGATCAACAAACAAGAACTTTAATCAGTTTAAATTGCCCTTCCAGAGCACAAATTTAACTGATTAAGCTAAATTATTTTCTGATTTAACTATGGAAAATACTAAAAAGCAAATTTATAATTTAATATCAATTAATTTGAAAATATTACCAAGTCATAAATAATATTAATTTATTTTCTATTCCAGCCATTAAAGCTATTCAAAAAACAATTTCTAAAAATTTCATTCTATTCCCCTGAATTTGATCAAACATTCATTGTCTGTGTGTTAGTTCAATGGTTTTTCCGGTTAGTTAAACAAATTACCAAGGACGATAACAACAACAAAAACAACAACAAGGCGACATTGACAACAACAACAACACATACACTTGCATTGTTTTTAGTAGTAGTAATTGTTAATTGAAATTGAATTCGCGCACACTCAATTAGCTAGAGTTAGTAGTAATTAAGTTCTAGAGTTAATCAAACAATCGAAAAACAAAATGAAAAGAATCGTTTTTAAAAAACAGGCGACAAGCGGAACAAAATAGTTTCTCATCATTATCCTTCATCCTCTATACATACATGACTCTCTCTATATATATATAGCATATATAGTATTTGGATAAATCGTTTTTGTTATGTTTAATTGAACAATCGTTTTAGTGGACAAACAAAAGCTTAAACTAAACGAAAACACAAAAGTGGTTTATTGGTTAAATAGAGAAAATGGCGAATGTCAGAAGCACGCCGACGAATCGGAACTGAAGAGTATATATAGGTAGTGGTGGTAGTGCTGGTGAATGTGGGGCAAATTAGGTGTGGCAAAATGCTTCACTAATGACTAGTGTTGGGCAATTAGTTTTCAATAATGGTTCTTTCTTTCTTTCCCAGATAAAAAAAACAATGGAACGTGCAAAGAAAACACACCGATAAAGTACAAAACGAATGAATTAGCAGTCTAGTTAAATGAAAAACACAAAAAAATCACATGGAAATCCTGGAAAATTGGTGCTGGGTTGTATGGATGTTCTTTTTTTTTTTAAGTGATTGCAATTTAATTTGTTTGGTGCAGTGTGTATGTGTGAACAAAAACTAAATGAATCTAGTTGCTATGGTTAGAAGTTAATAAGAACGGACAAATACGGAGCTTCGAACCCGTAATGCTTTTTGTTTGGTTGTTTTTTTTTTTTATTTTTTTGTATCTAAAAAACGATTTTTTACCGCTTGCCATCAGTTTGTTCTTGGTCACCAATTAGTAGGACATCATCAGACGTACTCGTAACTTCGTTGAAGGTGACCTTCAGCTTGGGCGAACTGGGCGTCAGTTTGGGCCAATAGATATCCTCCTGGGCGGCTAGTCCCATGCCCGTTCCACCCATGCCCCCATTATGAACCCCACCCATTCCCATCTCCGTGCTGGTCGCCGTGCTCATCATGTCCGGCTTGGAAGAATCACCTCCATTCACTGTAGTGCTAGTGGAGTTGCAGCCGCTGCTGCTCGAATTGCTACCCGTCCTCTGGCCACTGGACATCAACAGTGGCTGGGCACTGGCCTTGCCAAGCAATCCGCCATAAGTGCTGTCCAATGGCGGCAGTTTAAAGTGCCATCGTCGCTTGATGGTGAGGCACAACCAGATGACAATCCAAAGCAAAAGGTGCGTCACCCCAACAAGAGCTGGAAAATCAAGAAAGAAAAAGAAGACGAAACAGGAAAACAGGTGAGTTGAGTGCAGCTAGAAACGTAATACGGTTAAGGTAGATCAGGCGTATGACAGCTTAATTGGACCGAGTCTGCAGTTCGATTGTCTCGCCCCGAGTGACACTCAATTCCGCTCCTTTGTCTCATCGGGTTATCTATCCGGCGATTAACGCTCAAACAACCGCACATCCAAAGTCCAAACAACCCCGCTAATTGGCTTAGGCCACAAAACATACCTCAGAACGTATTCAAGGAGGGATTCGGTTGACGGTCCCCCCCTGTTCCCGGCCATCCAATTATGCAGATTCAACACACTTAATCAAATGGGGAATTAGACACTGCAGCGATTTGTATGACGACCCCCTTCTCTGGTGATGGGACACCTCAAGAATCTTAATCGGAATTTAACGATTCAAACTAGACTTGCTAATGGGTAAATCTTGTCACGTACTTTGGAATATGAATAACCGAATATATCTCTTTTAAGTTTTGTTATCCAACCCAATTTTACAATCTTAAATATTACGTTTAAAACCCTAAACCCTTTAATAAGTCATTTTAAGTCCAAATTTATGAGCTACTCCTATGAAAATCGTATTTAAAAAAGATCTAACTTAAGTCTTTTTCCGCTTACAACCTTGAGGTTAACTTATTCTTTAAGTAAATTTCAACTCACCCGCCAAAAACGTTGGACAGTGCAGATTATTCTTGTAGGTGGCACTGAGATCGTTGAGTAGCGGCGCCTTCACCACCGCCAAAGCCAGGACAAAGCACAAGGAGGCGCAGTGGGCAAAGTAAATCCATGTCTGATGACTCTTCAGTGTGATAATTGAGCGATCCCGCATCCGCGTGGCCAGACGTCCATGTCCGTACAAATACATGACCATCGAGGAGGCAACCACCAGAGCGGTGGCCAAAAGATACAAAGCCAAGGTGACAACTGCATTCAGGATAAGGCCAGGCTGATGGACTGGCATGGCCTCGGCGTAGATTTGCAACTTGTACAGATTCGACACGCCCACATAGCCGAGGATAATGTCCAAGGCAGCCACAACCATCTGGAGACTAAACACACAGGCAAAAGCCTTTGGAGGTATTCCAAAAAACGGCCGGATAACGGACAGACCAGACCAGCAGGGCGCACAGAAGGTTCACAAACTCTGCACTGGGTGGGTGGGAGAAAATGGCCACATCGATGGGCTTATCAATGCCAAAGAAGAGTTGCAGCATTCCGGCAAAGCCATCCAACCGGACGTAATCCTGCCCGGACTTCGGGCCATTTGGTGATGCGGGTGGTGCAGGAGTCAAGGCGGGAACTGCCTGAAAATCACCATCCTCCAGCTCGAAATCCTCGGTTTCCTCCGGCTCCTCCTCATTGGATTTGGCCACAAATTCACTGGAATTTATATTGGCATCACCGAGCAAATATTCCGGTTCGATTTCGACTCCGGCTGCTCTTTTGGAAATCCTTCGCTTCTGGTTCTTTGGCTTAATGGCAATGATCTTAGAATTGGATGCCGAAACGGGAGTTGAGGGAATGGGTAATTCCGGCAGAACTTCAGGTTTTACTCGATGGATGCTACTATCGCGAGTGGTGGTCTCCTCCTCCTGGAAGCTCTCGAGGATCGCCTGCTCATGGGAGGCGACGTGATGGCGTCTCGGTTGTTGCTGCTGCTGTTGCTGTTGCCGCTGTTTGTTGTGATGTTTGTGGTGCTTGCGTGGTTTTCCATGATGGTGATGTGGTTGCCTGCTGGTTGCCATCTCAACTGGTTTAATAGTCGTCGTGGTGGTGGTGCTACTACTACTAGCTTGTCGTTGCAGCCGTGGTCGATGTTGTTGTAGTGGTAGTTGTAGTAGTGGTTGTAGATGGCGTTGTACTAGAGCTTGTTGATGTGGTCTCTTTGCCCAGGGTACCGAGCTTCTGCCAATTTTCCACATTCAACTTGCCAGCATCGGCGACTGTGGTTGTCGTGCCAACTGCGGTTCTTGGCGGCAACTCGTCGAAATCTGGCATGATGACGGTTCCCTCTTCACCGACACCCACATCATCCTCATCCTCTCCCCGAATCGCTTCCTCTAGCTCGCGTCGCTCCTCTTCGTCAATATCTTGATTAATTAAATCGGGCACTTCAAAGTATTGGCCTTTGCCCGCATCCAGTCTGGTGCTGGTAATGGTGGTTGTTGTCTTCGTTGTTGCCGTCGTCTTGGCCGCCTTTCTGCCACTTGCCTTATCGGGTCGCAGGTCGAACAAATTGTTATTGCCTCCGGCTGGCACTCCACGGATGGCCGTGAACATGGTATCGTTGAAGTAGTCCTCCTCGTCCTGTTCCAAGCTGTTTGCGGTCAGGTTCAGTCTGTTGTGATGCTGGTGGTGCTGCTGCTGCTGCTGTTGATGCTGTCTGGGGAAGGGTGTGGCCCCCACCACCGACATGGCCATCAAATTGCGTCGATTGATCACAACAAAGTCCAATTCAGTGGCCCAAATTTGCTCTGGAATGGAGAATGCAGAATGGAAAGGAGTTCGAGGGTTAGAGAGAGTGATTTGAGGGGGTTGAGCTACTGATGGTTGCTGCTCAAGTATATAGAATTAATTGCTTTGAACTCCAAGCCAAGTTGCTTTCGTATCTAATTGGAATACATCACGCAGGATTACATGGTAAGCACCTGTTAAGGACAAACGCACACACACACACACACACACTGCTTGCATAAACATGAGCTTGGATGTAATGAGCAGGATGCTTCCTGTCTTCCACTCCAATCTCCTTTCATCTGTGTGGCAATCGTTAATTAAATGAGGCATCGATACTTCTAGGACTTCTATAATCCACGCCCTGTTGATTATTAGATGAAAGTCAGAGCTCCCAGGGCTGGCACACTTTCTTTTGCCTGAATCTCAATGAATACCAATCGAAGCCCGGTAGAAATCCAACCCAATCGATGGCGAAGCGAACTGAAATGTCCGGACAATAGGGAAATTGGACTGTGTTGGCCTGGTCGAAAGGCGAAACAGAAAAAAAAAACAAAGCGAAAATCGAAACCAAACTATGTATTCCCCGTTGGCAGATCCCATTTCCGTTCGATTCCCGGGCAAATGGGAAAACAATGCACACAATTCCACCATTAGGCACCGTCATGGCCGGTCAGTTTCGGGGCTCTAATTAGGCGCACATTGGTAACATATGTACACATGACACCGTCCACCTGCCCTCTGCATCCAATCTGCTTATGCTTATGCTATCAACTATACATCCCCAGAACTCCAAACTGATAACTCTACTGCTCCACTGGCAGTGGCTTAACTCTTGCTCCGCAGTCGAACTTAATATCCATGTTTATTACGGTAAAGCCTGGCGCCCAGCGATTTATCGAAGTGAGCTAAGAACTGGGGATTTTCCTCAGGGGTTGGCATGACACTTTGTTCCTAAGTTATATAACAAACAGTTAGTGACCCAATCTGGAGTCTGGAAAGCGCAATCAGGCGAAAAGATAAACACAATTGTAAGCTTCTGGAAAGCAACTTCCAAGAAACTCTTTTCTTACAAATATTATTACTTGTACATTAATGTTGATGTTCCAGGAAAGAAAAGCATAGCTTCCAGGCAATAAATAAATAATTAACAAGTTCTTTAACAGCCAATCGACCGTTAAATAATCCAAACACTTCCATTGACAATGCAATCCCTTTGGGGTCAAAACAGGTAGCTTATTTGCCCCTTAGGTATTATCCACCTGATTACTTATCGCAACCTCAATACTTTCACCGCCGCCACACCGCCCTAATCCCAATTAAATCCGCCTGCCAGTCACAAATTTGTTTGTCTTAGCCCAGTTAAGATGTCGCTGAGCTCTGTGAAGATTCCTTAAAAGCTTTCTAATTAGTTTACTTTATGATGTCGCTGATGGCATACATATACTCGTATATAGCACCTATAGACTGCCCTAGTTAATAATGGAGCGATAAAGAAAGAAAACGGAAATTTGCCAAGTTAACACTTTCATAAAATAATTTATTAGTTGAGTTGCTTTAAGGACATTTCACCCTGCGGGCGGTTGGAAATAAAAGAAAGCCGCCGAAATGAGAATTGCCGGGCAGCAAATATTAAAGACAATGGCCCGAAACGAAGGGCAAAATTCTGGCAAAGATGGGACGAAGCCAACGCCGAAGACCAAGAAACACGAACCGAGGCGGGATTACAACAATGGCTGCCATAATAATATGTCGTTGCTGTGCCGTTGTCGTTGTTGTTATGGCTAAAGACGATGCTGGCAAGTGGCTCGTAAAACCGACAACACCGAAAATCTGAAGATTAACCCAGAAGCCTCCCTCACCCGCTCTGTCACATGGCATCTTAGCCAACCCAACCACCCACCTACCCAATCCCCCTTTCCCCTTCTTGATTATGCCAATGACAATAACACCAACGAGAACGAGAACGAGACAGAGACCGGAGACCTACCGAAAGGACGATGTACTGAAAGATGCCGGAGCTCTGAGGATAAGAGTAATGAAAATGCGCAAATCCAACTCCGGCCACGCCCACCGGAGGCGGCGACTTCCCGCTGCGGTAATAGTTACGATAAGATGGGCCCCACATTATCCCAGATATCCAGCACCCCACGCCCCAATCGCTGGCCCTTCCTGCAGCTCAAACTCGCGCTCGTTAAGTCTTTAGCATGAATAATGATAAGTTCGCCGCTGGAAGAAGCTAAGCCAATGTACAGGTGCGGTCATGAAAATAGGTATCTTCCAGTAATAGGTTTTAAGTCAAAGTTGCATTGAACTCTTAAATAATACTCATAAAGAAGTTTAGTTTCAGGTAATGCGATATTTATGGGTCCTGAACTATTTTCTTTACCTCTGCTGTGCCTAAAGCTCACCCCTAACGGGCAGTCCGGGGCCAATGTCTTGAGCCACTTCCGGAGAAGGCCACCCACTGGTTACCACACCCATTCCCCTCCTCGTAATCTGACCGAGCCTGTTTAGCAGCCTTTTATGCGCTCAATATGGCGCTGGACTGGGGCCTACTGCTATCCATCTACGTTATCCCGAGACTTTTCCCCGACCCATCTCATCTGAATTTTCATTTGTTTTTCGCCCGAGAGATGTCTGCATTAATTATTTATGAGTGCAGGATGGCGTATAAGTGATTTCGCCATAAAATTGTCCTGCGAAGTGATTTTTGTGTCATCTATTAATGAAATTAATTAGCGAATTGTGACCACTTCCTTCCTGGCCTTCTTCCCTTCTTAAACACCTAAGTTTTTTTTTCTTCAGATTTTCTTTCTTTTGCTGTCGACAACAGCTGCAGGCCGTTGAGAACTTTTTTATTATAATATTTTAATAAGTTTTCTTATACTTTGAGATGTAAATGAGGCTATTTGATGGGTCAGTGGGTAAGCAGAGAAAAGAATATGAAAATCTTAGAGAAATTCTTGGGTTTAGTTTTGCAAGAACAAGTTCCATTAAATAGTGGCCATGATTGAAAAACTAAAATATTCAGAATAAAACGAAATTAAAGACCACATTAACTTTCTTATTAGTCTTATCTTTTCATTGTTTTATCTTAACCACCTTACTCTTTGTAAGTTCTTCATTAAGACATAATTTACGTCTTCCGAAGCCAACGAAATTTTCGCCAAAGTCGTTAAAGTTCTTTCTGAATTTAATGAAACGTAATCATGAAATGCATTTGTGGCCGCATTTTCCACTCCTTTGATGGCTTTCCTCTCGCCTCATTTTTTATGCGAGTTGGTGGAAAGTTTTGAAAGCATTTTTTATGATTCTCGCTCCGCCTAATTGCTTCATCTTTTTGTGTTACCAATTTTATGCTAATATAAAAGTTCAGCCCAGCTCCCTGCAACTTATTAGTTTCCTCTCTCTCTGGCAATCATTGGCTGTCAATCATGATGCTAAGGAAAATTTCTAATTGCTGGCTGAAAATCATAATTCTCAACTTACAGGCATAAGCGCATCATCAAGCTGGGCCGACAGTCCAATCTTGGCCAGCTTAAGTCTTTAAGGATGTCAGGCGACGCGTTGACAAATTGCAGGGGACCCACAGAAAGGGCAAGGAAAATGGGCAAAAATACATCGAGGGAAACGGAGGAAAGCCAACCAAGCCAGCCAGCCAGTAAGTCGAGCGTGAAAATGGCGAAAAAAAGGAGTCGCGAGACAAGGCATTGCACTTAACTTGACCAGCTGGCCCCTTGACCCACCCCATCCATTTCCCAGCCAAGTGCAACTTTAGCTTTGACTGCACATTTTATTTGTGCCAATGATTTTCTAATTTAAGAGACGGCGGACTGACTGGTTTTGTGGGTGGAAAAACAATTTCCCGCCCAGCATGGATTGCACATCGACCGCCATAGGATGTCTGTCAGCGACAAGAGATCGACTTTGTGGCAACGAACCAGCAAAAACAGGAACAACAATAAATACAAAAAAAAAAAGAAAAAACGGACAACGAAATTAATTGAAAAATCACATAGAGTGGGTCCCAGGTCCAGATCCAGCAATGCAAGTCAGTCATTCCAGTCGTTCGGTGAGTCAGCGAGGATTTAAACTCATCTCGTCATGGTTTTTATGATGCCAATCCAACCCATTGCCCCCTGTCGATGCCACATTTTTAATTTAGTCCGCGTGGCAACGATGGTCCGTCGATGCCATTGTCTTCTCGCCTCGGACCCACTGATTCACTTCGGTTCTCTCCGCTTTCCCACTGGTTCAATAAACTGGCCAACAATTGCCGACCAACTGCCGTCCGGGGACTTTGCCTCGGACCCACTTTAAATGTAGTAAATTTTGATTTGCCTGCCGATGATGCAGCTATAGCTTTCCATCATTGTTTCACTCATCGCGGTTTTTTTGCTGCCCTTTTCCCCATTTCAGCCGTCCATCCATCCATTCGTGGCCATTTAGCGAAAGTTTTTGGCTGAAAAAGGGTATGTGTACTTTGGAAAGCGGCTTAGGAACTTAAAATATACAGCGAAAAACCTTTTAGATAAAGTGGTTATAATTTGAATTTCTGTAATTTGAGTTTATATAGAAGTTAGCTTAAATTCCTATTAATCGAAAGAGAAAAGAAGATCTCTTCAGGGACACCTCCATTCGCTGGGATCCAACTTTGTTGTTAAATTCCCCGCCATTACTATTACCGGCCTCTCATTAACTGTGGCATTAGTTTACTGGGCTGCGACAGCGACGGCAACGTTCACATCATGTGAGACTCAGCGATCCGACTGTACACAGAAGGACAAACACACTGACGAGGAGCTCCCTGGGATGATATGCAAACAGAGGCCTGGTGATGTGATGTGGCCCAGGACTCATTCGACTGGTGTCCTGTTCACAGTTGGCCAACATTTGCTCAGTTTTGGGTCGCTTGGTTGGCTGGCTGACGCTGCGGCGTTGCCCCGTTGCCATTGCTGGTGCCTTGTTATTAACATGGCTTATTGCTGGCCATAATGGGTGCACCTCCTACCCTGTCAACCTGTTCCCTCTATCGTTCTCCTTCCCTTCTGTCTTGGTGTGTGTGTATAATATGAGTGTGAGTAGTGTTTACTCCTGCGGTTGTTAGCCTGTATGCTCGCTCGTTCGTTTGTGTTTTTGTTTGCCGAGCGGTCGTGCATACACCCGCACATACACCCGCACATACACCCCCACATACACACATACAAGGGTATATATATATATATATACTGTAGATGTTTGGCCAGCAGATTTCCCCAGCGATTGCCTTTGAAGCCGCTGCTTCCTTGCTACAGTCACTTCTTGAACATTTTTTTCGACCTTCCCCCGGATATTCCCCCAAGCTCACTTTGCTAAGCGTCCTTCAGAGCATCCTAAACTTCTTGGTTAAACAGTTTGCCAGTTTGCCCACATCCACACATATGCCAGGCAATTTTAAATTGGCCTGCTCTTACTTACACTACTCTGATTTTACCCCAGAGGAGACCCAATGCAGATTGCAGCCAATTTCAGTTCGTTTTAAGTACAATAAATTGAATTAAAACACGGAATGGCGCAAATGCAATTGTGAATTGATTGCATTGACAATGGAAATTATGATTGATTTAAAGCCCACCCACTCGCTCATTCCATGTGCCATGGCATGGACACAAAAGTGCCAGCGCTCATGTTCATTTTAATAGTTGTCATCAGCGAGAGCGCCAGTGTCAACGCACCATCAATATGACAATGTACAACATGGCGTATGCTCGACAACAATGAAAGTGGGGATAAATGCAATTCGTGCTCGGCAACATTGTGCATGGGTTATACTCTGCCCCCTTGCCAGACGTCCGCCCCCCCACAGGATTTCCTCTTCCGCGGGAAGTGCATAATCGACACGCAACAATAAAATAGCTATAAAAGTCGCTGCTGGGGATCGAAAGTTTGAGTACCCTTTCAAAAACATGTTTTTCTAATACTAGTTTAGCAACTGTAGCAAATTGTTTGCGATAGAAAATTGAAGTCTAATAAAAACACTATGAAACTGAAATGAAAAGTGATAAAAAAGTGAAAACATTGTAGGTTAATGTAGTAAGAGTAAACCAATATCGAAAAGCCAATGACTCTAAAACTTTAGTTTAAGTTCAATTATAAATAATGAAAATTGACATTTTATAATATTATAAAAATAAATCCATATAAATTAAGTTTGCCAAAGGCAGGCGATGGCACCGGAAATGCACATCTGGAAATAAAGCAACATGGCGGAATGGCAACTTCCTGTTTCTTCACATTGCATCGCTTCTGTTGCATACTTATGAGCGCCTTCCGCTTCTGATTTCACCCATTGAACGTGAATGCTTTTGGTTAATTAAGCTCACCTTTTGGCAGCAATCCATTCTCAATGATGCGAGCCTCCAGCAGTAATCTCGGCAACAGCAGGCACAAGGCAATCAGGATATGGAACGAAAGCCGCCGTGGGTCCACCATGTGTCCAAAGGGCCCGAAGGGTACCGCCCCGTGACTCCTCCTCCAGGCCATCGTGCGGTGAGAGCGTGCAGCGCCGCTCCCTGGCCCCGGTGGCCAATTTAATACCATCGTTTGCCAAGTTCCCAACCTGTCGAGTAGTCCAACGAAAATTCGGGATTATTAAAATGAAATATATATATAATTGGACTCCCCCGGAAAATTCATTGGGTTGGAAATTGGGGGGGAAGGGCAAAATAGTTGTTCCACATATGCAAATGATCTGCCAGTTGGGCGGATTTAACTAAGCAGAGCCAAGGACTTGGCAATGACTGCTTATTGATTCGACCTCGCTGCTTTTGCTTTTCCCTCTACGGCGGAAATTGAAAATTTCCCAAGACTCACTCAACTTCCTGCTGCCAAATGTGCATGCATATGCAATTTAATTTTCTCTAATATGCGGTGGAATAATTTAGTGAAGTGCAACTGCCAGCAAACATCCTACCTGCTGAATGCAATAGGTTGAAAATAAATAATAGAATTCTATAGCTTTCTATGGGGTGAGTAAAATTGAACAAAGGCAATATATTAACAATGCATAAAAACTAAAAAATTTTGCTTATACGGAAAAAAAGGTAAATATTTTATATTATTAAAGGTTTATTGTTCTTCAAGGCCTATTAAACAAATTTGAATAAATATATGATTAACTGCTTTCCATTCATTGCTTTTGCTTTGTGTAAAATGAGTGAGAAAAAAAGATAAAAAAATACCAATAAAAAATCTTTTTAAAGGACAAAAGCTCTGATATTTCACTCTCGCCTTTATTTATTATTGCGATTCATAACATATAATCTACATACCCAGCACAGGTATTAATTAGTAAAGCAATTACAATGTGAAGTTAAATACAATATCATGGATGTCGTAAAGTTATTTCCACTTAAGATAAATACGAATATGAATTGAATTCAACTAAAAAGTGTCAACAATCTCAGACTGCCTAAACTCACAGATTTAATTTATGCATATTATCTGAGATTGAATTTTCTCTGGTTGCGTTTCTCACAATCAGTGGGAGCTACTGTATATTCAACGAATAAATTACTCAACTGTGAATATATCAAATGGGAAAGCATTCCATAATTGCCTGCAACAGGCGACTGACTGACTGACTAGCCAGAAGCGACGATATCCTTGGTTGACCGCACAACAGTCCAACTGCACGATGGACAATTTGGTATTTGCTTTGCTCCTCCCTTGAGGGCAAAGGGGCAATTAATAAAAAAGAATCTATACATGTGCAACACAAATAAAAACCGCTAAAACTGCGAGAAAACTTCAATTGAACATGTGTAGAGCTGAAGCCAAAAAAACAGAAAATCTGAGGGGAAAAAAGTGCCTTTGTGTGTGAGTGTGTGTGTTTTTAATGCATTTTTTATGTGCTCAAAACGCGAACACATCGCGATTTGAGCGACAGAGTGAGAGAAACCAAAGCATTGCGCATACGACGCGTTGGCATATAAACAACAGCAACAAAATAAAAGGAAACGTTGCACGTGACAAATGGCGAAATGAAATATTTATATACGCTCACCCATGCAATATACATGCATCTATTATTTTCCTTATATATATATTCTCACACTCCCTACACCAAAAAAAAAGAAAATATATAAAAAAAAAGAGCATTAAAATCACGTGCTTTTTCCTACATATATATATATAAATAAACGAGAGCTGTCGGGCTTTTAAATTAAAAACAAGCAGACATCAGGATGATGAAGGAGCAGGATCTGAATCAGGATCTGAAGCACGAAAAAAAAAAATAGAGTGAGAAAATGGCAGGAGCAGAAAATGGGACCCGACTCGTTCACTTTGTTTTCCTGCGCTCCGGTTTCGGTTTTGTTTCGTTTGGTTTCATTTGGTTTGGTTTGGTTTTGGTTTCGCCTCGTTTCGGGCAGCAACAATGATTGCAATTTGCAAAAAGCGAAGTGCATTTCAAGTGCTGGCGGGGGATCGTGTGTGGCAGAAGAAGAAGAAGAAGAAAAAGCTGAGTGCCACCAAGATAATACATTTAAATGTGCCAACAATTCACGCTTCCCTCACCGCCACCAGCGAATCATCTCTAAATCATGTCACTGCGTGTAGCCGTTCATTAATGTCTTAGACGTGGAAAAAGCCTCAAGGATGCATTAGGCATCTTGGCGGGTATTCATTTTAATTGGAAAGACAAAGGAAAATGATTTAGAATATGTTTAGAATTAGAAGAGAAAGAAGATAAGCCATTTAATAAGCAAGAATGGCCAAGGATATGACGTCTAATTATCAGTCAAAACATAACTTTCAAACTTAAAAGAAGAGAACTTTTCCTTGTATTCAATAATAAGAAAATAACATTTCCCAAAACTTAAATTTCCATCATTAACATTATACAAATCTCATTAAAACATATCACTCACTAATCCCCCTTTAAACAAAACAAAAGGAAATCATCATAATGAACCTCCCTCCACATATTCTTAAGTTTTCCGGCATTGAAAAGTTTTCCGCATGGATTACTTTTCCCCACCGTCGATGTTGGTCAACCATTTCGTTCGTTAGGGGACACTCATGCCGCATGTGGAATGCGGTTTATATTGCCACCCAGTCGTTTCATTCGTTTAATTTCAAATGCTGTGCAAATATGAAAGTCGCAAAGTTTTCGCATCTCGTTGTTATGGCTGTGACAGTTTGCCAGCTCCAGCCATGGCCCTGCTCTTTTGCAGGTTTTTAGCCGTTTTCCACCGCTTTTCCCACTTTCCAATTGCCCAAAAGCCTTATCGGTCGACACATACTCGTAGTACCCGTAGGAGTATAGGAGTAGAACGTAATTGTGACTGGTATGTTGGTTTGTTCTGCTGGCAGAAGAAAAAAAAACGGGAACTAAGCAAAACTATGAAGTTTCTGTGCTGGAAACAGGAGTTCCTGTTGCTCGTCCTGATTTTTAGGGACTCTGGTTCCTGGTCTCTGCCAACAGTCCGATAGCCACGCCTCAATGGTCAATGTTGGGATTTTAGTTTGCAACCAATTTCTGTTCGTCGTTGACGTTGCTGTTGGTGCTGCCGTTTAATAAACGTTCGGCGACGTGTGATGGAGAGCCTTCCCTCTGCTTGCCTGCCTGCCTTTGACTGTCTGTGTTTCTCCTCCTCCCTTTGTCACTCAGCTCGTTGGCGGTTTTCGGTAGTTTTCGGTCTACCCTCCAATTTCCACCCATTCTCCCCCTCGCGCCATCCTTGCTTTTCATCGCCCCCTGTCTGGCCGCTGACTGATAGGCAGCTTTTGCCAGCATTTTTTGACTGCTCTTGATGATGTTGTTGCTGTTCATGTTGGTGTGTTGTTTGTGCTCCGCACGCCGCTTTTGTGGTTGTCTGGCCAGCGGTAAAAGGGAATATTTGCATACAATTTGTATACTCTTTTGTAGTGACGAAAAGCCAGCGCAGAGATTTTTCTGTCGGAGCCATGAATATTAATTTGGGAAATCAATGGAAAATTGAAAACCTTTTGAACTGGAATGTTTTTTTTTCGCTTCAGCAATTGAAATACATATTTACAAAGTCATAGAATATTTTGAAGAGTTTTTAGTTCTTCTATTCAAAAATTCAGATTAGCTTTGGAATAATCTAAAATCAAGGATTGATCAAAATTCATCAAATAAAATGTGCCAAAGGGTAGATAACTCTACAGAACTAAGAATTCTTAAACAAAAACCTTTAAAAATAAATAATTTATTTTATACCCAAACATCTCATCTACTAATATATCTTTTCCCCAAGCTAATATCCTTTGCTTTAAGAGGACTGTAATCAACTCTTTCGGAAGCGGTACGTTCCGTATTTAATGGAATTATGTATTTCAGGACTGAGAAGGGGGGTGGCTGAGGGGCATACACTGGTGGACAAGTGACGCCGCTTGCAGCTGGCCAACTTCCTGTGATAGGATCCCCATGGTCAGTCTGCTGTCACAGCCAATGGACAGTCTGTGGCGGGCCATAAACTGAAAGCCATTCACTCCACTCCACTCCCAATCCTCCCTAGGTTCAGTCTGTCCGCCCCCAAACCCCCTACAGATGTCGGCAGCTTCCTTCCATTTCGCTTGTTTTAAAAACAAGCCAATTATTTGTGAAAACTTTCAGATGGTGAGGGTGTAAGGAAAACAAATATGGGGACGAGGACCTGAAATGACAGCCACTACAGAAGCATTCGCATCACCAGACCAAGTCGAAAATTGCAGGAAAAGAGGGAAATACACTGAAGAAAATGATTTTGAATGAAATTAACTTAAAGAATATACAAAATATTATTTTATTCTTTCCTTTTCTCCTTTTTAAGTACTTAGAAAACATCAATCTGAAAGGCTTTTCCTTTATTTCTTCTTTTTTCAATATATAAACTAAATTTCCCTTGAAGAACTACTTATTTTTTCCCGTGTAGACACCATTTAACTTCCTTTCGGTGGCTCTCTTCATATCTGTCTTTCATTTTAAGTGGCTTTTACCAGAAACAAGGAGTGAAAGAGTAAAAGGTGGCAGAGTAAATGCCGTTTGTCGGTGATTGTATTTTTCTATCGAGCTTTTGCCATCATCGTCTGCCGTACACTTTATAAATAGATGATAAATAAAATACAAAACCAACTATATACATATATGGGAGAGGTCTAGGAACTATACTAGTTAGCTTGTAGCTTGGCCAGAGGGAAATATGGCAAGGGGGAAAACCATAATTGCATTTATTATGCTGATAAAAACAGAGAGAGAGGAGAGAGAGACACTGGAAAGGAAGGGGTGAAGAGAGAAACACACACACACTGAATATACCAATAGACAAGCACAACCACACGACGAGTGTCCATGTGTGCATCTGTGTTGTCAGCCATTTTGCGGATCCACTGAAAAGGACCCAGAACGTATGCTTGGTCCTGCTACTGCTGCTACTGCCGCTTCTCTCGTTTTTGTTTGCAAATAAATTTAATAACGTGAATAATGCCACTAAAAATAATTCACAAAAACACAAAGTACAGGCCAAATGGAGCCTGCAGCGGCAGGGACAACAAAAAATTTAATTATTGAGTGCAACCGAGTAAACAAACACACACACATACACACACAGGCAGATAGAGGACACTCCCGTATACAGTTAATTATTGCAGGAGCATGATCCCGGTTAAAAACCCATTGGACAAAAGCGTCTACCCACTCACCTTGAATACGGCCGAAGTGAAAAAGACCGGCAGCAGGATGAAAACCACTCCGGAGAGCACAATCTGCAGATTCAGCTCGGCCACAGGCTCGATTTTCCATGGTATCAGTGAACAGCCTAAAGGTGTAAATATATTTATATATATTTTTTAATAATATTAAGAAAGAGTTTCAAACAGAATAAAGTAATCAAAAATAACGTTGATATTTATTTAACAATAAAATAAATGATGGATAATGAATGGATATATTTTCATATTGAGTACAGGAAAGTCTTAAAACTGTTAAAATGTTCCTTCAAACTGTACAGTTTTACAAGCACTTCAACTCACCTAGGAACCTGTAGGCCCCATGCATGGCCAAGTAGCCCTGGAACAGAGTAAGCAGTACTCCATACCAAATGGACCACAAAGAGTTAAGGTGCAGATAGCTGCCAGAGTCGTGGCCAGAATGCTGCAAACTGGTATAGCGGCTCTGGTGGCGTTTCGACTTGATGTACTTTGCCTGAAGCTGCTGCTGTTGCTGGGTAAGACTGCTGCTGGCCGTGGTAGCACTCGTCATCACTGAGTTGCACAGGCTAGAGTTGAGACTGCCACCGCCTGAAGAGGAGACTCCCGCCATAGATCCCTGGTGCTTGCCACCCATTTTTGCTGGGGGATTTGTGTGCCTTTGTTTGGCTTTCAATGCTTCGCGCGCGTTAACTTTTGTTGCCGCTACTCGGGGTTTTTATCGCTATACGCGACGACAGCGGCAAATAATGTTGACAATCAATTTCTGTCTATCGCTCCGCACTATTTATATTGATTTTGTATTGATTCTGAAACACTGATTTTCTATTTACTCAAGTGCTGCTGTTGCTGCTGCTGTTGCTGTTCTAGCTGATGATGATGATCATGATGCTGCTGCTGCTCATTGTTTTGGCCATTTCCCATTCCAGTCACTGGCGGCGTGTATAATATTTGTTCGCTGATATGGCTCATTATAGCGTCCGACGATTTTATTTGCCGGCGCATATTTGTGGAAATTCGTGTTGTTTTCCCACACCTTGATTGACGCTGATTTGCTGCTGTATCTGCAATGACGGAGAGCAAAATCAATGTGGAATTTAGTTGTGGCAAAAACGAAATCCAATAAATGATTCGCTTAAATAAATAACTGAGATAATTTCAATGTTCATTTACACTTCACAGCACTGATTAATGGTAAATTTATTTCATTTCAAAATCTACCATAAATATTTTAAGCAAGACAATTTTAAGCTTATGTTACTATTAATAACTTTTTATTCAAGCAAATAGTCAAATCATCAAAAATAAATCCACAAATACATCCTGTAGTTTCCATTGTAATTATATTTTTTTAATTAACCCTTCGATTATGTAATTAGGCATACAATTATCAATCAGCTAAAGCCCTTTAAAACATCCCTGATATTTTTTAAAACCATATTAAACCATAAATAATTAATCGTCGAACGCAAATCCGAGCCGTATTTTAATTAGTCACCTATGGGTTGGCTCTATGCTGTTGCTGTTTTTGTTGCCACGGACTGGCCCCTGGCCAAATTGACGCGTTCAAATTGGCAACAATTTAAATAAGATTACAACTTGCAAAATGCCTGATCAGCTGGGGGGATAAAGGTTGGTGGGGTTGCAACTATAAATCAATCCGCTGGGGGAAATGGAGGAGAAATTGCAGGCCGTACGGTGTCTGTAAACCAATTTGGCACATGAGAGTTACTGTTCCTCTTCCTGCTATTGGGAGTTGGGAGTAGGGCATTGGATATTGCTGCTGCTCCTGCTGGGTGTTGCATGTGGCATGTTGCTGTTGCTATTGCTTTTACTGTTACGGGGTGTTGCTGGCTGTGTTGGCTGTCGCATAATTAAGGCAAACCTTGTTGCCAGACAGACAAATGCGTCGGAAGGGATGCAGCTGGGGGAATGGGACGAGACAGAGGCAGAACCTCCTGGGAGGAGCCTCCTTTGTCTGGGCCCTTGTTTAATGCGTCGCGCCTGGTTGTCTGCCACATCGGAAGCAGCATAATTATAGGCCAAAATGGCACTTAACAAAAAAGTTATTTTGAAGAAGCAGAGTAAGAAATCAATAATGTTGAGTTCTTAAAAACTTAAAAGAACTAAAATGTTATCTTAAGTTTAAAGTATTTAACTTTTAATCTTTCCTTCCCAACTTTTCTTTCACTGTATATTCTGCAGCTCAGTTACTGTGAGGCAGGTAAACTATTTGCAGCTTTGCGTGTTGCAGTTGAATCTAACATGTGTAGAGCCGTTAACATTTATGCCGCCTTTCAGCAAATTTTGCGTTTTGTTCAACACAACCGCGAGTTGGCCAGAAGGGAAAAGGGAAATAGGAAAATGGTGAAACGCAGTTCCTTGGTCTTCCTTCCTTTCCGCATTTTCGCTCTTCCCTTTAGCATGTTTGCAATGCAAAAATAATAAAATGTTTGCAATTTGTTCGCCCCAACGTTGTTTGTAATTAAAAACGTTGCTGCAACAACACAGTTAACAAATGGCCGGGAATGTGCCTTTATCCGAGTTTTTCTCTCTCTTTCTCTCTGCCCAGTAATTGACCCGATTTAATTGATAATGGCCGTTGTATACAAGGCAATGTCAATGGCCCAGGTGACAGCAAAATGGCAATAAAATCAGAACATCAGTTAAGCATCTGCAGTAAGCCATTACTTACAAGGGTAAGTATATGCAAAAATTGACAGCTATTAAACCTTATCTTCATGGCAGGTGGTAAATCAAATGGCAGTTTTATTTTATTTAATATTTTTTACAATTGCACATAGTTATTAAATAGTTCGTTTAGGTTTAAGCAACATGAAGAGAGCATTTGACCACAAAACATAAAATACAAAACATATTTTCATTTCAATCAAATATTCCTTTCTTTGATTGTTTTCACAAAAGTCTCATTGGGAAATCCATTCTTGAAACCTAATATACTTCACGTTTAACCACAATCTGCTACCTTATTTACACAAGCTCTAACAATCAGCCAATCCAAACAGTGTCGGCCATGATCCTATAAGTCCTGTTCCGTTTTACCACTGCCTCATGTTGATATTAATTTTATGTTAATTACAATCTTCACCAGACTCCTCAGCCAGGAGTCCTACGTGTTTGTTGTCTGCAGAATTCTAGAGTTCCGGGAGCCATGTGGCTTTGTACTTCGGAGTAATGGTGGGTGGTTAATGTTAGCACCCAAAGGCAATGGCATCCTGCCACTCCCTGGAGTTCCTTCTCCTCTTCCTCCTTCCTGTTTTGACATACTCAACATCAGATTAGCCAGCCACAAAAGTCATAAATGCAGATGTTTACATTTCTTTTACCCGCTCCAGTTATTTTCAGTCATGAAGATAGAACCAAGAACTTTGCCCCTGTCCTTGGGGCAATTTGTCGCGTTCGCACGACTTTTACGCAGATGAAACAGCCACTTTATGGCCGACGAGAGGTGTGTGAGTGCACAGAAAGAAATTATTAGCTAAAACTGGCATTTACTTTTTATATTCTGAAAACGAGTCTTTGAATTGATTTTAGAAAATGTTGTTCCAAAAACCATAGTCTTAAATTTTTACTATTTTCATCCATAAACTATACAATTATTTTTAAGAAATTTTTAATTCTAAGTTTCTTTCTTTTTTTCCAGTGCATGTGTGTTTGTCTCTGGCATTTCCTTTGTGTGTTCCGGCGTAAAATTAAAATGTTTGGCTCTGGAAGCGGGAAAAGATAGCGTGGCTCCTTCTTGGTTTTCTTTCTTTGTATGCCACTCCCTCTTCTGCTGTTAATGCAAATTAAAAACTTCACTCAACTGCATTTATTTGGTTAGCACAGTTCTCTTTCTGTCTCTCAACTTTCCTTGGCACTTTCACATACCCCCAACTTTTGTGACTCATTCTTTTGGATTTTCTTATTTTCCCCGCCCACTAGCGACCCAGACTCCAGTACACTTTAACATTCCGCCCCCGAAAACAGAGGGAAAAATACAACAAAATATGCTAAATGGCACTTGGCACTCCACAGAACCCCCGCCTCTTCCACCCTCTCAAACTCATTTCCCCGCTCACGTTTTGCCCCTCTTCTCAAATTCCAGGCTCACACATTGCCTTTGGCATGCTCAAGTGGGCCACTCCGGCTAATTTATATTTATATTCTGCTTCATTTGTCTGTGCTCTGAGAACACAACCCCTTTTACCACCCACTCTCTCTCCGCCTGTTTTATTTTTTGATGACCAAACGAACGGCCAATGCTGAAGAGCTGGACAAAGAAAAACAGTAGCAATTTTCATCTTTGTGCAATTTCCTTGATGCTTATATATTTATTTAAGCTACCATTGAGATTGCTTTTCTGGCATTTTCCTTCATTTTTTTCCTCCTGCCATTTTGCATAAATGAAAATGTTGCATTTTCCTCGCCGCATCATTTACTTTTGTCCTTTTTTCCCCTTTTCAAAATCAAACACAATGGAGATTCGCTTTCTTCGACTGCAACTCGGCAGTTGGTTTTGTTACTAGAAGCGTGACAAATGTAAGTACACTGAGAATATTATATTGGAAATAAGTTATTAATAAAAAGAATCCAAAATGGGGTTTCGAAAACCAAAAATTGAGACATTACCTTAAAAAGACATTCACATTTTTCTTTATAAATCCAACATCCAACTGAGTAAAGTTTTTTCTTCAAATTTAAGTCGATTTTTTCCAACTGCAGCATCTTTTCCCCCTGAGCTTTCACAAATTTCTATTCAACCCTCTGCAGCATCGTGACTCACTTGTTATATGTATTTTCAGCAAGAGTTGCCAACAAACATGGACAAAGGAAAAAAAGAAATTTATTTTTGCATTGGCTGGCAAAAGTTTTTTGGCTTAGCCGGGCCAAAAAGAAGGAGGTAGGGTAAGGGGAAGGTTGCACGTGGCATGTTTTGAATTGGATTTACACATGTGCCGAGTTAATACGTGTTACCCCCACCCTGCACCCCCTATCGCCTGATGACATTTTTTTCAATTTCAACTTTCCAGCAGGCAATACGTGAGTTAGCTGAAAAATGTGTTGCCGACTTTTTGGGGCTGCCAAAAGAAAATCCCTCAAAAAATTTTGTTTCAGCCAAAATAGGTACAATTAATTTTGATTTATTATAGCAGGCAGGCAGCGTACGAACAAAACACTAAAATTATGAAAACTTACACAAAAACATAACTCATAAACTGTTATTAGAATCAATTTTTTTTGGGTTATTTCCAACGTTAGAACGCAACTAGGTCATAAATGCCCTGAGACCAAACCAAAATCACCAAAAACCCTAAAAAAAAAAAACGAAAAATAAACAACCAAACAAAAAGCAAGCCACAAGGGGGCAGAGGCAAAATTTATGACTGCAATTAAATCGCTACCAGCGGGCAAATAAAATTAAAATAAAACATAATAAACTATATAAATTAAAATGCGAATCGCATAAAATGGCACCAAATGAAAGCGGGGCACATTGTCTGCATGTAAATTATCGCATCGAGAGCTCGCTTGCTGCTGCAACAGCACAGCCCCACACCACCCGAAAAATCACCACCCCCCAAAACAAAACCACCCACAGCAAAATGAGCCACATGCCACCACTTGCAGACGACTAAGCCGAAATAACGCGTTGAAATGTTACCAATTTTTGAGAGCGCCGCTTAAATTGCGTTACACGATGAGGGGTGAGCAGCCCTTAAATGGGGGTTACCCGGGGATATTCTGTCGCTTGCATTCCCTGAGAGCTGGCACTTCTCTGGCCCTCTGGGTTTGTTCCGGGTCGTAAAAATGCCGGGGAATTTATCGCTTTCGAATGGATTTTCCTACAAGGCGGGGCGGTTAAACTTCTGAAGGGGGTGTTGTGGCCCTGTTATTGTGCAATCGTCGTAGTCAGCGGTTTGTTGTTGTTGCCCCTGCTACTACTGTTGTTGTTGTTATTGTTGTTGTCGTGCACAATTGCATGAGTGAGTTTGGCAGGCTCAAAAAATATTCAAAGCGAAAACTTTTGCCGCTTAAGAAAATCGATGAATCCCCCATACAA